GGAGTCGGTGCGCAGTCGTGCCGTTACAGGGATCATGTACATGACAATAAATTTGCTTTCATAGAAATGTCGTCTTTTTCTGATGGTCCCGTCGAGCGGCACAAGCGCCTTGACTCCGGATTTTGTCTGCAAGAACCACTTTCCATAATTTTGTTCTAGTATATAAATCGACTCATCGGCCAAATGGAAGACATTTTGCTCTTGCATGCATTTCAGCGGTTACCCAGCTGAACGGGACAATGTAGGGGGGGCCGGGAACTCGGTACCTTGGCCGGGACCTCGGCTGTCTGTCTATGCTAATCAACTAGTCGTTCAGGCGTTAAACAAAATGCTGTTGGCATGCATTAAGTCATTTCGACGGTTAGTAGAGTTAGTAGCCCCGTTGAACGGGACAATGTGGGCCGGGCATTTAGGGGGCCTTCTTATTAATGCGCGCGCGCGCGCCCGCCAGGTTTCATTTTGTAAAAGTTTAATTGAAAATATTATAAATAATAAATAATCATTATATAGATTATAGAAGAAACTAGAAATAATAAAACAATATTATAATATTTTGCGGCGACCACAAAATTGATGACGCCAGATTAAGCACGTATTGACGTAAGATTAAGCACGTAATACGTTTTCAAATACGTTCTATAAGCTGATTCTCAACGCTGACGCATGGTCGCTGGAAACTCGACGTTTGAATTCCAAAAGCACCGAGACGATTGTGCATGCAGCATGCATGATGCACTGTGACTCAGACAGTCTGAGTCTGACAGTGACAGACTCAGCTAGACTCGAGAGTCAGAGTCAGAGCTCCCGTCAAGTGATTGTTTTCAACTTTTCAAGCAGTTCGCGCATTTCTGCCGAAGGACGGGAACTCTGACTCTGATGAACATTTCGACAAGAAGCAACTTGCATTTTCTTTCGTGCAATTTGTTAGAATGGTGCCTGATCTCTGGAGATCCTGCTACAAACAGGTTGCTGAAAGTGATCTATGGGAGCTCCAGTAAGGTGGTGTTGAAGCGGAAGTGTGGGCCTGGCGCTGAAGGGCGCATTTGAAGGTGCGTCGATTGATCCAAGTAATCTTTGTTTCTTTTTCTCTGAGGAGTGTTGCCTTGAATGCATTGATAAGAGGATGAAAGCATCAGATTATATCAAATGCACCTCAAGCTACACCTTCTGACATCCTTCTTTGGCAATGCAGCGCGCGCTATGGGGCAACTCTATTCTTTGGCATTGCGCTATTGCAATGAGCTTATTGCATGTCCACTGCATTTCTGATTGGGGCTGTTACCTCTAATGTACTTGTCCAAGACTTTATTTCATTTGAGTATTGCTTCTAACTCTTTCAAATCAGCAGGTCAATCAGCTCAGACTTCCTGGCAGCAACTTTTGAGTGGGCAGGACACAACTGCTAGACTTCTGTTTCCGAGATACTTGTTATGATGGAAAGACTTTGGACAGATTGGAAGGGCCTTGGACTGAAACTTCAAACCACTCTTCACAGTTTTGACTGCCCCCCCCTCCCCCCTTCTGCGCTGTGTTCTTACTATGGGCACACAGACTGCCATCTGTTAGCTGGTCGTACTAACATCCTTGGAACCACTTTCTTTAGTAGGTACCTCAGATGCATTGCTCTCATTGAAGCTGCCTCAGTGTTGTACAGACGAGCTACTCCAGCTGCTGTGGGGGGGAAGACTCGCTACAAGCGTCATTTCAAGCACAAGTCTTGTTATCCTCACAGAAAGAGCTGCAAGTAACGCACACTGAAGGGTTTGCGGCATGGCTGACATCAGCGGGCAAGTCAGGGCCTCCTCCTCGCAGCAGGGGGAAGCAAAGCGCTCAAGAGTGACTTCGTACGAGCTGGCGAGAAAGCCTTCAAGATTGGGGGGAAGGGGCTTTCCTGTCAACCTGAGAGCAAACTATTTCACGATCATGAGGCTGCCCATTGGCTCGGCCAGACTGTACGAGGTGAGGAGTCTTGACTTCTGCCTACTCTGCGCGGGCCAGAGAAGAGGGCTTTTGCACAGAAGGTTCTCCTTATAGGTTCGACCTTGGGAATCGACACTTGCAGCTGGCCGTACTTGTTACTACCATGTAGAGAGCTTGGCATGTGTTGATTTTTCTCTTCTCTTTCTCTTCAGCTTTCTGGTCAAAGAAGAGCTCTGGAATGCTGTCTGACAGAGTTTCGAACTGACCATGCGTGGAAGGTTTGAGAAAGATATCGATGATATGTTAGTTTGTGGAGGCAGCAAATTGTAGCACCAAGTAGGAACGTTTACAAAGTATTGTGGAGCGTTTATGACTTGTGATGGTTCGGTCCCTGAGGATGAGGAAACTTGAAAGAGGTCACGACATTGTATGAACTGATTGTAGAAATGAATTGTGAATGTGAGCTGTCATGAGGTTACCTGACCATGAGCTTCTGACCTTTTTACGAAAGGAGATTTGAGCATCGCATTGAGATCTCGATTTTGACTTTTTTATGACCGATCTCATTCAATCCAAGTAGATCCAAAAAAACACTGCTTTTGAAATGTTTCAAATATCCAATTCCTTTCAGCTTCCAATCGGCGTACCTTTTCCATCTTCGGGGGACCTTAAATGACGGTGGATACTGCAAGTGACGTGATGGGCCTGCTACCACCTTTCTTTGATGCCTGGGCTTCAGCAACGGGTCTCCTTTGAAACTGCTTTGACACATGCATGCTACCCCTCTCAATCACCAGCAGGCCTGAAATTTAGAGCTTACTGTCACTTAGAGCTTACTTCTCACCGTTTGGATAGCTACAGGTTGTTCTCACAAAACGGTCCGCATTCCCTCCACCCGCAGGTCGACATCACTCCCTTGAGGCTCGTCCTCGATGCAAAGAAGAAGCCGGAGAAAGACGAGGACGGCAACGAGAAATGGAGACGTGTCGAAAATCTGCTGATACCCCCCTCCCGGACCACCAACCGAAAGATCATCGCTCGCCTTATTGAGCTGTACAAGGACTCGGACTTCGGCGGCTCCCTGCCGGGTTATGACGGCAATAAGCTGCTGTATGCGATGGAGGCTTTGAAGTTCGAGGCGAACGGCGATACTTCCAAGGAGTTCCTGGTTGATCTGCCCAAGGAGGTCATTGAAGGAAGGTGAGTGATAAAAACTGCCGAAAGTAGTGTCGCATTTTCAAAGGAAGACCCCTTTGAGTTCTCAAATCTGGTTCGCGACTTTGTTGGAGCGAGCAACTTCGGCAGCAAGTTTCGTTACTTCTGGGAAGTTGCGTTGCGGACTGCAGTCAACAGGTGAGTTTTGCAGATGAGCGACTGCGAGCTAGTATGACAAACCAAGAAGGCTCTTTCGCAGATCAATCTGGTACGCTTTTCAACGAAAGCGCTGTCCTACGATGTCGCTCATTCTACCTTGTGCGGTACTGTTGTCTTTCTAATGTTGCACGTGCTCGAGCTGTCTCTCAAGATAACACTTCTTTTTGTACGCACCATCTCTCAAAGGTCAATTGTGCACAGACAATTCTAAGCTGGGGAGCTCGATAATATATGGAACTCCTTGCGGAATAGAAAGTCTTCTCTCTACGAGCTTGTCTGTACAGGCTTGACTCCCCTCTCAATTGTAATCCCTTCCGTAAGCAGTGCTCTACAAAGTCTCATTCGATCCTCGGAAGGACGTTCTCTTGCTCTTTCGGACGCAGTCCCGCCCTTACTCTTCCGAAGAAGAACTTTGAAATTTGAACTCGTCGCCTGTCTTCCCCCTGCGCAGGGAGATTCCTGAGAAGCGGTTTTACGTGAAGCTGTCGCGGCCGGCGGACAACGAAATTGACTTTGATGTTCTGCGCCTGGCGCTCGCTGGAGCCATCCGCACCGTTCCTCAGGACGCAGTTTCCGTAAGCTAGCAAACTCCGCATGCTCCAAAAGTTCGACCGCGTGAAGAGGGCGTCAGGTCGCCGCGAACTGCAGCGACCCAACCAGTGCCAAATCTGCTTTCAATCGCCGCGATCAGATTGACATATTTTGCCGCGACGTTAAGCCTGAGTATGTCCTGCGATGTCGCTTTTTGGCGACAGGCGTTGCGGGTAATAGAGCGCCCACTTTAAGGTCTGAAAGTAATTGAGCGCGGAAAGCTCCTGGAGACTTAACCCAGACACCGATCCTGGTAAAGACGGAGTCGAATATAAAGAGCGCAGAGGATTTGTGGGAAGCGTTTGAATGGCTCTTCTCAAAAAGGAAAAGTTGATGGTTGTCGTGTATACGAGATTATCAAGGTCCCGAACTCTGTTCAGTTGCCTGCATCAACGGTGTCAGTGTCACGCCTGACCATCCCCCTATTTGCAGGCCCTCGAGACCGTATTCAAGGGCCGCTTGAGTGCCACGTAAGTGCTTCCTTGCCTACCTCGGATCCACGTTTCAAGCTGCGAACCCTGCTCAATGCTACTCTTTGAGGTCCTCAAGGTCCGTTTTATCAAGCGGCTTGACGAAGTGGAGACCCAAGCGATTGCTGCAAGAAGTGAACACTATCGGGAGAGTTGAATCACCCACATCGCCCACAAAGACCTTGGGCTGTAGCTCGCATTTATTCAAAGCTCGTGCCAGCGGGCCACTGTTCCCTTGAAAGTAATGCGGATAAGCAATAGTTCTAGATGCGGCGTAGATATTCCTCTTCGGTCTTTTGAATCGTCCCGGCTTACATGGTGGTGGTTTAGCCTATTTCCGACTTTTCCAACCCGCCCAACTCTTACGAGTGTTCTGTATCAATCGTTCGTGCGTATCTTTTCAGGTGGTCAATGTTAAGGACGAACCTTCTGGAAGATCGAGTTTTCAGCTGTGCAAATCCGTCAATGATTACTTGTTCCTTGAAAACAGGGTGCTCGTTCTATGCCAGTCAGCGACTGCAAACGGGTGAAGAAGTGGCGGCTTTGCAGCTTCATCGTCGTGGGCCAGTCCTTCTTCAGGTCCTTCCGAGACGCCGCTCCGCACACGCCTTCTTACTTTCTTCCTTCTCTTTACACCGTTCCTTTATCTTCGTCATGCATCTCTGCATCCACGTTATCAACCTTCAACTCAGGCAAGCTGGTCAGTAGTTGCAAACGGCTCATTGGAGCGAACGGCCTTGCAGTTTCAAGGTCGTTGGCCAGTCCTTTTTCAACCCGGCCCAGAAGCCCTTCGACCTGGGCGGCGGCGTCGACGGCTGGACCGGCTTCCACCAGAGCCTCAAGCCCATCCAGGGCGTGCCGGCCGAGGGCGCGCGCGCGCAGGAGGGCGCCCTCGCGCTTTGCGTCGGTAAGAGGCGCTTCCTTCCGTTGACAAAAGCGGCTCCATGTGATTTGCTGCCCGTGATTCTCCTTTTGACGGCTCAGGAACGGTCCATGCTTTCAAAGGCTTCTGCTGGCGTGCGTTGAGCTCAATTGTCACTTTCGAACGATTGAGTTAGGGCTGTATTGGTGCTTTCATCGGTTTCTGATCTGCTGAAAGCAGTTGTTTAGGCGTGCCGCTTTAGAATCGGAAGAATGCACGTCCGGCCCCTGTCCACTTATTTTCAAGGATGCTAAGCAGTGTACGGATCCTACCTTTGCGGAAAGTCTTGGAACAGAATTCGTTAAAACATCCGCTTGAGCACTCACAACGGCGTGTATTTTGTGTCTCAGACACGGCGGTCACGGCGTTCGTCAAACCGCAGCCCGTGATCGACTTCGTCGCCTCCACCCTGCGGCTTTCCGTCGAGCAGCTGAGGAATCGGGGTCCTCTCTCGCCCGCTGAGCTGCAAAAAGTGAGCGCCTCTTCCGTCGCCGGGATTGATGCGGCCCTAACTAGCTAAACCTGCGTTCGACAGCAAAGCGTGCCCAAAAATTGCAACCGTCCAGCTCAAAATCCAATTCCCGCATGAATGATGCCCTTCACCGGAGCTCTGTTCTGATTTCAGGGTGCATACACACGCTGTGCTAGAATACACAAACCCTTTATGCGATTGTGCCAACGTCTTTCTGCTGCCCAGAGTCCCAGATTTACCATCGGACGTCGACTAAGGGCCTCAATCCAATCGCGACCAGGAGCCTGCTGTCCGAAATTGCGATACCGCTGTCAGAAAGCGTCTGAGTTTTTTTCGCTGTCCAGATCCCCAGTTCCTGCGCGAAGATTACCAATCTTACCGTCCCGACATTTGCGCAGGTGATGAAAGCGCTCAGGGGCCTGACATTGGAGGTAACCCACATGGGTGCAAAGAAGAAGAGGATTAAGGCGTCCAAGATAAGCCCGAGACCCGTCGGTGACATCCGGTAAAATCATTCTCTTACACAGCGTTGTTTATGCGGCACGATTTGGAGTCCTGTTAAAGCAACTTTATTCCATCTGAGTATATCCTGTCGTTTTACACAAAGACGAGCTTATGACGGGTTTGTTTTCCTGACTGTTTGCTAAACATCTCCATCAGGCGTTTGTCGCGGGCACTGGAAAACCTTTATTTCAAAAAGTGGAATTCTTGGCTGCTCTCGAAGCCTAGAGCGTACATCGGATCCAGCATTGCGTAATGAAAAGACTCTCATTTCTGCTTGGTTCCCCGTGCGCCTATGTCCATTTTCTTTCGCCACAGATTGAACCACACGAATCGGACATCGTTTCGCGAGAAAGCCTAGGTTTTTCACTCTTGCAGCTTCGAGTGGGATGGAGTGCAGCGTTCCTGAGTACTGCCGGGAGCAGTACGGCATCTTTACGATTTGCGCATACATTCATGTTTCTGCATTCCAATTTTAAACCACACTGTTTTGACATGGATTACACGAAAGTCGTTGACCGACATTCCCTGCTTGTAGCTTCGAATGGGAAGGAAGAGGGGAGTGCAGCGTTCCTGAATACTTCCGGGAACATTACGGGTGGGACCTGCGGTTCTCGCACTTGCCCGCGTTCCTGAGCGGACAGAACGACCGGGTGGCCACGCCCTTTGAGGTGACTCTTTGAATACTGCTCGGTTCTTGTTCCCCGGGTTCTTTTCCGGAATTGGTTCTACTGAGCACATTCGGTGCAGTTCAAAGAGGGCGTCTAACCACGTGGTTCCGCGGCGGCCTCTTCGCTGAATACCCTGTCTTCGTGTCGCCAGGAATTTGATCACATGGTACCGAATTTAGCGACCCGAATGCGGGCATACGGGCTATGTGGTCGCCGAGGCGTTACAGGTCACACGACGCCCGCTTTAAGGAAGTTCTCTTGGTCGCGTTAAGCGCTGTTTCCCGTCCTTGAAGTATGGTGTCTATGGGGGACCGCTTTAGATTCCGGTGCTTGCCGCAAGGCATGCGAGACTTCGGGCGTCCTTACACAAAATCAATTGGGACCGAAAGGCTGATGCCTCTCCAGGGTTCTCAGAAGGGTTGGTCGAAGATGTCAGCACTGGACCTCGTGGGATTGTTTGATTCTGTCACCAAATGCGCATCGAGCGGCTTCGAAGTGGAACGCTCCGACCAAGAAGCACCTTTTGCTGGGGCACTTGTCCCAACCAGTGCGATGGCTCTACCGGTTTCTCGACGCGTTACTTGGAAAGCGAGGCTGCGTCTCAAGGCTCTGGGACTGCTGACTTATCTCAATAAACAAGGAAGAGTCAGAAGAGAGTCCTACCAGCTGTCACAAAGTTGTTTCAATCGAGATAAACAGCTTCGTACTCCGCAGGTATGCGTGATTGCGAAGGGCAACCGGGTTAAGAAGCTGAGCGACCCGCAGACGAGCGAGATGATCAAGCAAGCAGCACAGCTACCGGGCAAGAGGCGGACCATGACCGAACAGGTGGGGTTTGCAATCGACTTACTTCACTGCATGCTCGATCTCACAACAGATACTAGTAAGCTTAATAGTACAAAAATATGGTTTCGCACTGGGACGGATAGGTTTAGTTTGGAGGTTGAGATTAAGCAGGGGCCCGGAGCAGGTAAGTCCCCAGGTTAGTTATTTGTGAGTGTTGGCTGGAGCTTATCATCATCTCGACTTCTTCTTGGGATTCTTTCTGTTGGCCACGAGTCCGCGGCTTTTCAGATCGACGGCGGAGTGGAGGAGCGCTTTTAGAGAGAATTGAGATTTTGGGATGTGAACGTTCCGACGAAGTGATCTGCAGGGAATCTGTAGTCCCTGACGGAACGAGTGGGGTGGGACGTTTGATAACGTTGTTGCAATCGCCCGGGGATGTGCAAGTTTCGAATGTGTAGCAGAAACAGGTGATTGTTCATAAGTAGCCTAAGAATGGATTGGAAACGACCGGTTGGGACCGGCGTTGGATTGATGCTTCTTCGTAAGCACAAACTCCCCGAATGCTGATAACTTCGACAGGTGTGAGTGCCCGGGAAAGCGGAACGGAAAGAGGTTTGGGGTTGCATCGAGAAAATCACTGGAAATCAAGCACGTTTCAAGAGAAGCCTCTTTTGTTCCCTTCTTTCCTCGTCCAGGGTTGAAAGTGGCGTTCCTTCTCCCGTCGACGGCCGCTCAAATACTTCGCCAACGCTTAAAGTGTAGTCCATGGGTTTGAAAGGCGTTGTAAGAACCAGTCGAGAAACTTCAAATCTTGTCTTCGAATCCTGAATCAGTAAGCTTAAAACCCTTAAAACCCTAAAAACCTAAAACCATAAACCATCTGTTCTCCGCACCTGTTCGACATAGTATGATCCCTCCTAAGCCGAGGACTAGTCTCCGCAGATTGTCCAAGTCAACAACTACAACGGCGACCCGCTGATCCGAGACTGGGGCTTGGAGGTCGCCCCCGAGATGATGCCTGTTCAGGCCCGGGTACTGCCTGCCCCAGAGCTCGAGTATAGGAACCGGCAGCGGATCAGCAACCCGGGGAAGTGGAATCTCACGCAAGGGGGGGCCAAGGTGAGCTGATTGTATCCCAGAGCGTAAGCGCATGTTGATCGATTGCATTCAGAACGATTTTTTTGGCGACAAGCTTGATTTGATCTTTGCAGAGATCGAGCAAAGACGGTCGCAAAACGCTGACCTGATGATTCTGCAATCGAGAACCTCTGGAGACCATTCGGATGTTGATCTAAAATTGACCGCCCGGAACGTGGCTAGGACCCTGACTCTCGGACCCTTCATTCTTTCCAGTATCATGCTGGAAGAGGTCAACTGTAGTTCGAAGTGTCGACGCTTCTAGAGCGTCAACATGACGAACACCAAAATCGACCAGAAGGGTCGCAAAAAGCTTTCTGCATTTTCAAATAAGAGTCAAGGCAAACCCGTCGCACCCAGCTAGTGGTCCCAAACCTCTTAACCGTTCTCTTAACCAGCAAATGTACCAGAGCGTATCGATCGACAAGTGGGCGCTTCTGAACCTCGCCAGCCGGGAGCCGCGCTCCGCAGTCCCCGTCGACCGCGCGTTGCACATCGCAAACGAGCTGGTCAAACACAGCAACATCTTCGGACTGGTGAGCACCGCGTTCACTAAGACAAAACGTAAGTGAAGATTGAAGAAAGGCAAGGAACGGTGAAGACTGCTCAAGAAGGCACCATGCAGTGTGCGGACTGGGACTACACAATGGTCAAGGCTGCCGCTCATTACCAGACCCAAGTGTCAAGTGAAACTTCATCTCCATGGGCTTCCTGGGAACATGCTTGAATGCTGATCAGCCTTGGCATACATCCCCGGCTTGCCGCTCATCGTTCCTATATGCGTTTGTGTTTCCAGACGCCGCCATCGTGCATTTCCATCGCTGCCGTTGGCGACGAACGGAAAATACATTCTCAGCTTCGAAACAAACATTTGTGCTTGAGCATAGTCCGCCATGCGCGAGGCCTGCTTCCTCCCCCGCCCTTTCCTGGCCCGAAATGTGAGGAACTCTCGTGGCTGTTATACAGCGTGACCAACTTGGCAACCCAGACACGAGGAGGACGGTCGGCAGCAAAATATGAACCGTCCGATTTTGGCATCTGACGGTCCGTACAGTCCGACGTGGCACCACTTTTCCAAAAACTGCGGAAAAGTGGCGCTGTAGTGAGCAGAAGACTCTTCCCACGCGCAAATATGACGTCACTCTTGGCCAATCACCTGCGACCTTCTGGATCCTGTCATCTGCAGGTCATGTTCCAAGTTGAGCGGATCAGTTAGGAGCACCGCAGCCTCGACTTGCCAAAGTTGGGCACCCGGTATAACAGCCACGAGACTGGAGCTACTCTGGCGATGTCTGAAAAGCAAGGCGCCTTTGTTTGCAGTCGATGCGGGCGCTCTCGAACAACGGAATGGTCACTGGGGACCCAATGAATATCAAGCCGTGCATCGAATGGATGGCGACGAAGCTGCAGCCGACCTTCGTACTGGTCATTCTGCCCATGGGGAAGATTCCGCTGTACGGTGAGCGCCGTGCACAGGAACACGCTGTTCAAAGGCATTCCTGCGGAAGTAGCTTCTCCCTTTCGTTCTCCGCTGCTTGACTGCCGGTTCTTGCTGGTTCCTTTGCAACCTTGCTTCCAAACGAGATACGACTATGGGGAAATACATTGTACGGTTAGCACCTATCCTTTCCGGAAGGAGATGGAGTCTTCTCGCCCGGCTTCCAGTGTAAACGACTTAGGTTATTGGGAGAGTCTCGCAAAGGGACCTGAAAAATCGGTCGCGAAACGACACCAGCAGCAAAGACGTCCTGACAGCTTTCTATTTCCGTTCCCTGCTGCTTGACAACGGATAGGTGCTGGTTTGCTGCTACACTCGTAGAGCTTTTGCGCTGAGAGTCACTTGTGTCTCAATCTGATATTTTCAATGTGACTTAGTTCGCTCTCCTTGCCGCCCACTCTGGGCGTAACCATTCATTTTCTTCTATGCGCGAAGGCCACCGACTGATTTGTGACACTCCGAAAAGACCGCCACTTGCAATTGGACCGGAGAATCCGACCACGGAAATCTGGAGTCTTCGTTATGTAGACAAATGTTTCGGGTTCTTTAAGTCCGAGTCAAAGTCCGACGCAAACACTTGATCAGCCTGCGACATACTGATGTTTGCATGGTCGTCCGAAGACGACTTCCTGTCATGGGGACGCACGCTAATCTCGTTCGAACGCCGTTTCACATGTGACGCGCAGTCGGACTTTGGGAATGTGGTCATCCGCACGTCTAACTTCAGTTCCGTCCGCGCAGCCGAGCTGAAGCGGAACTGCGAGGTGCTGCAGAAGGGCGGACTGGTCACGCAATGCTGCTCGGCGGATAAAGTACTGAAGGCGAACCAGCAGTACTATGCGAACCTCATCCAAAAGATCAATACGAAGGTGCGCTGGAGTCTACGTATGTTTTTGGTAGCGTTATCCTTATTTCGCAGATTGATTCGTCTCATTTTCATCCCACTTCAAGAAGCATGTTTGCCCGTGCCTAATAACGTGTGGTGACGCAACCGTCTTCGAACGTCCTCGCTTCCGAGCTTCGCTTAAATCTTCATAGTAGATTATGCCCGCTTCTATTTGTCAGATCTGCCCTTCTACATTGAGTGCCCTTTGTGTGCCAATGCAACGGATCGCCAGCATCCTATTCGACTTCCCACCTGGTGTCCTTTCACCTGTCACCTGTGCATTCTTTCTTTTCTGCCGAACTCTTTCGATCTGCCGGTGACGAAGTGGCTTGGCAGCACGCTCTGACCGGAAACACCCCGTTTCTGCGCCAGACGGGCGGCCAAAACGTGACGTTCAAGGATGCTCTCCTCAAGCACCCCAAGTTGGAAAACACAAGTAAGCACGAAACATCAGTCAGGAGTCGTTCGTAGGCATATAAATATAGCGGCTGTTTTTCCGGACGTTTCCGGAGCTCGTGGTCAACATGGAGTTCACATTGATCTGCTTGTGTCGAAGGACGCTGTTCTTCCTTTTCAGAATGTCTGCAAATCGTGACAAGTAATAGGGCTGTTTCGTGAGTTATCCGTTTGTGGCGTCTATTCATCGGTTTTCTCAATCTCGAAGCGCGTCCGGAGTTCGAAGCGCCGATCTCGTCTTGTCTTGCAACGCGCTTACGAGGTGCCACGTGCGCCTTGATGACGTGAATCTTGGGCCCCGGTGCTTTGCATGCGCCGGTTCAAACCCGTATGTCCATCCGACCTAGCAACCTCTCCGTCGATGAGCCCCAACTCCTAAAGAAAGTGAAAAACCCCATGTCTCCGGCCTTCTTCTGAAATGTTGCCGTCGTCGCTCGGCGCAAATTTCAAAGGGTCTTCACTCTTTTATGCTCCCTCCTTGCCAGTGTTCATGGGCGCTGACGTCAGCCACGCGCCGGGGCACCGCGCCGACGTCCCCTCCGTAGCTGCGGTGAGCGCACTCGTGCCACTTTCTTTGAGATGTATCACATCGTTGTTAATTTCCAAAATCTGTTTCACATAGATTTGTTGACATCCTTATAAACGGTGGTTTGTCCTCTTTTGAGGGTTTAGGGCGGGAGTCTTCGAATGTTTGGATCTTAGTCATCCGTCACCACTGGTCGCACTCTGTGCGTCGCAATTCACAAGGAACTTCTGCCTCCCCACTTCACAAATATATCACCACTTTACAAATTATCAGTTGTCCACAATGAGTACCGCACTCTGTATACACCAACATCTGATCCAGCCTGGCTACTGCTCGACCCTTCTTATCCGAGCACTCTTCTCGTCCCGCTTCAACCCGCAACGGGGCACGTAGCCTTCCCAATCAACACCAACCTTGACCGTCAGATCTAGTACAAGCAGATTTTTGGGAGCTCCAAACCCGCGATTCAATTGATCGGTGCAGGTGGTGGGCAGTCTCAACTCGCCGGTCCCGACCCGGTACCAAGCGGAGGTGTCGGTCCAGAAGCCGCGCCAGGAGGTCATCGAGAACCTGTACACCAATGAGCGCGATCCCGAGAAAGAAAGCGCAGTCAGGTAAGCTTTGAAGCTCACCAAATAGTCAAGGAAAACGATATTTGGAATATTCGTGGGAATGTTACTGCAGTTTCCGCCAGCTGTCAGAGGATGGCTGATAACTGAGGCGTGACTTTGTATTCGCGCGTACCTTCCTTGCAATTTGAAGGCAGTAAGAAAGTTGCACTGCTACTCTTGAGGACGTTTCGAAATGTGAGCCGAGCTTGGCTTTCGTTACACTCATCAAATGCTTTCAGCATTCGGGTCAGCGCCGTCAAAGCCGAACCCTCTGGCAGAACACTTCTCAATCTGCACGTTACCGTAGAGCCTCGGCACCTAGACTCACCATCAGAACGATTTCCCACCTGCTTCTTCCCCTTTTCTAGTCTCAACAGCGGTGCTTCTGTCTTTCTTTTGCTCTTGCACAGCTCTACGAAACACAGTGATAGAGCAGTCTAGCTTACACCTACCATATTGCATGGCAGGACCCTCCTGAGGGCATATTACCACCACAATCGAGGGCGGCCCCCTAGTCGCATCATCTTCTACCGAGATGGCGTGAGCGACGGTCAGTTCCGAAGCGTTCTCCAGGAGGAGGTCGCGGCCATCAAAGAGGTGAGATGATGCTATTGAAGAGCCCGCTCGATTAGCAAAGTTTGGTACTGGCGTAGAACTAGTTGCAGGTTGGTCTGACACGATGAACAGCGTGTTGATCTGCAAAACATGGAGACAGATGAGATCAAAGCAGAAAAGGTTGCTTCAGAGGAAGAAATGAAAATCTGTCTCTCTAACAGCAATTGGCGTCAATATCTTTCATCTTTGAAAGCTGCGCTCATGGAGCCGTCAGGAAACTGTGAACTGCAAGCCTCATCGTATTCGCACGGGACAGACCATACTAAAAGCTTCATCACAACCAAAGTGGATCAAGGGGCTGCAAACATCAATTGCAAGTACTCAATTCAGAGCCCGTGCTCACAGTAACGTTTTGGCGTTATTTTTGCAGGCTTGCAACTCCATTGACAGCGGCTACAGCCCTCCGTTGACGTTCATCATCGTGCAGAAGCGGCACCATACCCGCTTCTACCCCGAGACACCGAGCGACGGCGACAAGAAGGGCAACATCAAGCCCGGTGGGTCGCCCTACTGACCCCAGAGTTTCTCTGAGGTTCTACAGCGTTGCCGTTGGTCTGCAATGCGTCCGCCTGGTATCGCTGATCATAGAATGTTTGGTCGACCAACTTACGAAAGTCAGAATGATGTAAGATCCTGCGGGTGCCTGACGTCAGCATTGGCGGAGGATTCGGTCCAAGCACCATTCACTCCAGGTCATCACTTCTCGAGCGCACAGCGACTTCCAGGCGCCTGCTCACTCCCTGCTTCGACTATAACTGCCAACCGCAAATGTTCTCAAACAAACTGTATACTCCATACACCTCTCGAAAAACCTGTGCACTTGCGTGCTTCGAGTGACTCGACTCTCCGACTTCTCAACCACCCACACTCTGCCACTTGTCACGTCCAGGTACCGTCGTCGACAACGTGGTCAGCCACCCGTCACTCTTTGACTTTTTCCTGACCAGCCACGAGGGGATCCAGGTAAGACGTCTCTTCTACCATTCGCCTTCTTGAACCTTTTAGCGTCACAAAAATTAGGTTGCAGGAGCTGGAGTGCGGACCGAAAGCTCTTTGGGGCCTCGGTTCGTGGGGAAGCAATTCGGTTGAAAACCGCAAATCACAGGGTAACTTCACGTTGCCAGCGGTGCGCGACTGTTAGCATCGGCTACGGTTGATTTTTGACGTGCCGATTGCTCTCGCTCTGCCGAACACGAGCGCGTCCGCTACATTGACCAGTCTAGAACGGGGCTCTGACTTTCGGGCTGTTTTTCTGGCTGGGCTGCCGGAATCAAGTCCCGGGCATTGAAGCTGATTGTTATTTTGCTTGAAAATGTCGGAGTTGCTGGTGCTTTGCCGCAAACCCTTGCGGCGACTCCCCTAACCCGCTGCTAACCCGCCTGTGTACAGGGTACGAGCCGCCCAATTCACTACTACGTGGTGTACGACGAGAACAACTTTTTGCCCGACGAGATTCAGGCCCTCACAAATGATCTCTGCTACACGTAAGTACTGAGGTCATGATACTAGGAATTGTAATCTGGGCGGCTGGGTTATGCCTCCTCTTGGTTGATGTTTCGGGTTTGCAGAGAGCTTTTCCTCTCTAAAAGCCCGTGCGTATCAAAGGCTTGGCGCGGTCATATCGAGCGGGTTTCGCTAGTGAGGACAGTATCCACGTTTCACAACACAGAGCTGTCTGCAGACTCAGAGAAGTCCAGCGACTTTGCTTCCCAGCGATAATCAGGAGATTGTTGCAAGTTTGGCGGCGAAACAGATCTGTTGGCGTTTGCTGAAGTCCGACGTCTTTCTGGCGCAGGTATGCAGCGTGTACCCGTTCGATCTCTGTCGGTAAGCCTCGAATTCTTGCCCGACAATTTGTAAAGCGAACGAGCCGCGGTTATTCCTTCATATAAGCCCCGCGCCTGAAAGCTCACTTCTGAGTCCTTGCGTGAGGGCGTTTGTGATATTTCCGACAGATGTTGCGAGCTATCCTTACTCGAGGAGCACTTGCTACTCTCGGCTGTTGAGCAACCTATCATGCGCAAACCAGTCTGCTCGAATATGTCAAGCGGGTCTGACTTCTATCCTTTTGTTTGACTGCAGCGCCTCCGGCATACTATGCCGGTAAGCCTCGTCCTCTTATGCTTCAATTTGTCACATTGACTGATCGGTTCCACAAAGCGCGCAACATATCACGACCTTCTGCTGCGCTTCTCACGATGTTCTGTGACGAGTTTGCCGCTTGCGACTGTCCGAGTCAACGAAACCCTGCCAACTTACTGGTTCTTGTCATTCTTGAATCTGCTGGAAGCCAGTCCAGTGTTCAGCATCATGAATTGGATTGTTGATTGCTCCTTTCTCAGCGTTGAATGCAAAAGCAATTCTTGCAAAGCAGAAGAGTGACCTTTGTGTTTCTTTTCAGCCACCTCATGCCTGAACTTCGAAAGTCGGATCATCTGAGTCTTCCGAAACTCCCAGCCTGATCCTGCAGATTTGGCGGCCACGCGGGCCCGTCTATACATGCAAGATTCCTGGGATCAAGACACGGCGTCCGTATCGAGTGGAGAAGCGGGCGCGGAAGACCAGTGGCGAAAGTACGAGCTGCCACGCGTCCAAGAGAACCTCAAGAAGCGCATGGTGTTCTTCTGAAGGAGGCGGGGGTGTATACGAGATGGGTCGCTGAGTCTGGCACGATTGATCAATCCCTGTCACTTCTTTTGTACAGACAAGAGAACTGGAAGCAAGGGGTACAAAGTCAAATAGCGAATCGGCTCAGTACAGTGAGGGGTTCACGGCTAGATTCAGACTAGACTGACGGCTTTCATCCGGATGATACTACTAGAACGGACTCAGTGTCGCCTTTGAGTCGTCACACGGCAATTTTCTGACTGCGTGAGGGCAATGATATTGATGGCGACGTTGGCCGCGTCCCGCTAGCAAAACGAATACTCATAGAAGCCAATTCGGCAGGCTTGGCGTATGTTACGTCGAGAAACGCAAAACCACTCGTCAATAGGTTCAATACTATCTGTTGGGACCGTCTCGCTGGGACCAGCCTGATTACGGTCCCTTGTTCAACGTATGCGCGGCTGCAGTCTCCGGTTGCACTATCACGCCATCTCGAGACACTCTGCAGTCGGATACGTTATGTACACGAGCGTAAATCTCAAATCAAATCAAGAACCGTTAATGCATTTCGACATCCGCTGACGGTACCATCGCCGGTGCATAAGAACTTGCCATGTTGACGAGATCAATCGATTATGCATCTGATTAAGCATGACATGACGGTACTATTCCCATCAGATCAGATGATGACAACAATCTAGACTTTGAGTTCATAGGAATCATCTTATCTTCTCCCGTCATATGCATTATCCACTGGGGATGTTCCTCGTGCGTGGGCCCGTATATACCGTGTGTGATCCTGCGCAATTTGTCTGACGAAACGCGCGCCGTCCAATCTTAAAGTAGAGATAAACGCGGAGTCGCTTGTTCAAAAGAACCAATTTTTTCAAAGTGCATCGAAACAGAACTTGAAAAGGTCCAAATTGATTCTTTGACGATGTTCATTGTGTCAGCTCTATACTTGCATGTACGTATGGAAATAAGTTCCACTCATACGATTTTCCATGTCCAGACCGGTCGGACACCGAATCTGTTTCCAGTTTTTCTAAGAAAGCATCAATCACCTAGCTTCAAAAGTTCCAGGCTTCGCCGCACGCTTGGCCTAGCCAGATTCACTTGCCGGTAAAGGCGGCGCTCTGTATAAAAGCCCTGTACCATGATTAATATGGAGGTACACCGTGAGCAGAATATACACAAAAGGCGATGTTGTTAGTAAAGGTGGTCTAGGCTGTTGTATGGTCTAACTAGATGGGCAGAGGCCGACATTTCTTCTTGTGTTGCTTCCAGTCCTCCTTTTGACACTCCACTGCAGACGAAGCGCACAATTGAGGCTCCTAGCATCCAGATTGCATTTGCAAGTGGGACCCGTCTTTGGCGCATGCTATTCATTGAAATACCAACACTCAGGGCAGAGGAGGCTTTAAGTCCGCCCTCCAGTCGAGCTGTCCGACGGCTGTGGCAACTTCGACTGATTCAGGAGGTCTTGCTCTCATGTTTTAACGCCGCGAGATTGCGAGCCGGCACTCAAGAAGTTCAAAGTGGTTTCAGCAGTTGCGTCATCGCCCGTTTATTTGTCATCCATCCTTTGCATCTCGACTGCAACTATAAGCACACTCCTCCACCTGTTCCCGGCTGATTAATGGTGATGTGAGTCGAAAAGACGAAAAAGACAATCTGCAGTTTGCCGTCCTCAGGAGGCGACAGGAAGCACACACCAACGTGCAAGCGCTCGTCTCGAAGATTCGCCAAAATATGCGCAGCAGAGTCTTCGGTCAAGGAACTTACCCGAGCAGTACTTCACGCGCTTGCACTTGCTGCATACTTTGAACTTCTCCCCGTCCTGCTCCCGCTTCTCGCAAGATTCGCACTTCGGCTTCATCTCTGGGGGCCGGTACATCTCCGAGAACTCTTGGGTGGGCACGTTTAGTGAGAACGGGATGGACCCAGTTTCCAGCGAATGCGTCACCACTCTTAGCAGGTCCTCGATCTACGAAAGGAAGAATAGCGGATTTGGTGCTAATGAAGTTCCGAGGTTGAGTTCCGAGGAGCCAGACATGTGCGCCTATTCTGAGAATTGACTTCATTGGAAGAAGTTTTCTGAATCTAGTCGAGGACGACGTGACCCCGGTAAATAATCTTGCAGTGTCTTAAAGCAGCGGAACGGTGAACAAGCGAGAAGCCCGCTAAGCAATCCCGTATGCAACGACTTCGTTTCTCCTCCAAGCAGCTCTTAACGAATGGAATTCACCAACGAACCGAAGTCGGGAAGAAATTAGCGCATGACATCAATGGGGCCCAGAGGATAGAGTCGAGGTGGGCGTAAAGATCAAAAGCAGAAGCGCTGATCTTAAGCACAATCCTAGATTTAGCTAGAGGGGGGTTCTAAAGCCTCACATCCTGCGTTGCTCTGTGACTCGGCCCAAGGCTAGCCAACGCCAGAGAGCGCGCCTTCTCGAGCACAGTCTTGGATTCCGTGAAGCGATGAGCCTCGAGAAGCGCCTCTCCCAAAGCGCATCTTGCCACTACCGACTGGAAGTATCCGTTGCCGAATGTCCTATCCAGGTGCGCGGATGCGCGTCTCATTACGTCTAGTGCCTCGTCAAAACGTCCGAGCTCCTTAAGCACCTGCAAGGAAAAGAGGACGGAGTCTTGCGGTGTCTCAAAGTGTCAATGAAAACGTCACGACTTTTCTCAGAATCACGGACTTTTCCCAGATTGGTGTATGACTTCGCAAGCTGAGCCACATCTGTAGTCAATGGAAAAACACGAGGACAAAGGCATCTCGTACCCGGAGAATCTTGTTACGGCACTGTCTTTAACCGATGCACCAAAGTCATCCAAGCTTCCTCAGGCGGAAAAGTTAACCATGACCGTAGCACACCTGTATGCGGTTCCGTCAAGCATCGAGTGCGTATATTCAGGGCCAGGCAGCGTTCCAAAACGTGTCCTCTTGTTCCATGATCTGACTCCACATCCCCCAAGCATAGGCTGCGTCTCAACTGAACGTTCCCAACCTTAACACCGCATTAGCAATCACTGCTCTTGATACTTACGTGGCCGTGGCTCTGCATGTAGACCCCCATGTTGCCGTCTGCTTTGTCGTAGTCCATCCGAAATGCGCGCTCGAAGAGGGCCAGCGCTTCTGAGTTTCGCCGCTGCCCGCTTCTGACGTCACCCATGGCGGCGAGGGTCTGCGCTTGCAATTGCTGTTGTTTCGTCGTCGCAAGGACTGCAAGAAAAGAGGAGAAAGATTTGGGGTGAAGCGGCAGAACACGTGAAGGATCTTCCACCAAATGACACGAAGTTGACTGATTGCAAGATCGGCCTTAAAATTGATTGAATCCCATTTCTTTCGAGTCAACAGCTTTGCTGCTCGTGCCATGCACAGCCATCGACTCCTTCGAAGATGTCTCATCAAGGTACTAGATCGTCAAGCAGAAACTTATGATTCTACGGCGAAACTTAATGCGACTAAAAGAGGAACGTATGTCCCCGATAGATAAATCTGGCGAATCACCGTGACGCTCGGATGGTTGCTTACATTCTGCTTACCTGGATTTTGTAGGACTGGAACAAAGGGGTGGCATGAATTCTTTTCTGCTTCGGTGAGCTGGCGTAATCGTGAGCAGATCTTCTGGGCCCGTTCAAGCCTAGCATATGCCGGCTCGAATCTGAACTGCAAGGCGAAGCAGAAAAAAGGCTCCGTTAGAATGGCAACCTAAGCAGGCAACGCCTGGTCAGATAACATGGCAGCAATGCAGGTACGCTCCAATCAGCAGATCCGCTAAGCCGCATCCTTTGATTCACGCCTTGGGTTTGCATCTTTGAGGTTCGCCTAGCCAACGAATTTCGTTTGGGTGGCATTAGACGAAGCAAAAGGCGATTGTGGCGTCCCCAGAGCTTCGCCGGAGTTGCCAGGTGGAAAAGTCGAGTTCATGAGGCACGATGCAGGCAAGGATTGACAGGCAATTTGAATGCTTGTTTCACAGCAAAGTTTCTTTGCGTAGTCTCCTCAAGACGACATAGCTTTCTGAAAGAACGTCTTCAGTCTCATTCCGAATACTTCACTCGCTCTTTGTCACTTTGCAGAGTGTGGCAATTCTCCCAACGAGGTATCTGCAACGCTGTAGCTTGTCAAGGGTTTGCAAGCGCACCTGATCCATGGAGAGTTTAGCCAGGTTGACCAGCTTGGGGTTAAGCAGCCACGAGTCCGCACCATAAGCACTCTCGTAGATCGCCATCGCTTGTTCCCGGTGCTCGACGGCTTCTTTGAACTCTCTTTGGGTCCGTAGGAAGTCCGCCCTGCTATCATGATACTGGCAGTAGATAAGGGTGTCCTCAGGAACCTTGTGAGCCACCAGCAGCTTCTTCCACCGCTTGTGAGCATTCCTGGAGCAAATCAGAGAAGACCGTTAAGCGCACGCCAGTCCCCTAGCAGGTTTGGCCTAGCACAAGAATTTCCCTCTGGCGGCTATTCCCTAGCTTGAAGGGATAAAGATCGTTTGCGCAACATCCTCATGGAGTTACAGAATATCCAAGGATTGCAAGATCCTAAACATTCTTCTGGCAATTGCAGACGCGCTTTCCCGCATATTCTTGAGCTACATACAAATGAGCACACATAGAGGCATGGACGCAGGTTTCCAAGAGCGTTTTAGCAGCGTACCTGAGCTTGGCCGCATCCCCTGTGACTAGGTACAGGTTTGACAGCTGATGCAATGTAAGCGTGCTCATTACAAGGCTTGCGGCCGGAGTGTCCAGAACCTTGAAATACATTTGCTCTGCCTTGTCAAACTTCTTCTGTTTCTTGTAAAGGAGCCCCAAGTACTGTTGCACCACAGCGACCATGTCCCGTTTGCCGTATACTTGGGACAGGGCCTTTCGGCCCGCAGGACAGTCACCGGCTTGAAGCGCGCCCGCATAGAATGTTTCTGCAGTCTGGAGTTCGCCCATGTTCTCAAAGTGCTCCCCCCATTTGTGGCCTATATGACACAAAATAGAGAACGTGTGTTCTCAGAGGTCGACTACAAGACTCCTTTCAGGGTCAACATGGCAAAGTTTTCCCAACATCATGATTCCGCGGTAACTTGTGATTTGGAAAAGATCTCGCTTAGTGGCTTGCTGACTTTTCATTGATAGATGCTGGAAGGTTCGAACAAAGGGCCAAAACAAGAGGCCTCTGTTCCTACAGCAAGGAGTATTTGGTGTCCACAATATGCTTCTGCCTGACCACCCTCCATTGACTTATGCAACTTTACAAAGCGACGTTCTATAGATAAAAGTCTATGACAGGGAGACAAGAGTGACGCTAGACTTTTCTGCTCTGACATGATGCCGACTCACCGAGAAAGAAGACGTCTATGTTTCTGGCTGCGTGGTCAAAACTCTTTTCTTCTAGTTCCTTAAGCAAGCTCCCAAAATTGTGTTGAACCCCTCTAACGCCAGAGGGACCGGTGCAGTTGCTTGGCATAAAGCCTGCTGCCACGTCCGCAGAGACACTAGAAAGTTCTCTGTTTGCATAGTCTCTCCTGCAATAAGAAAATGGACCGATTAGTTGTCAAGCGATGCGAAGGTGCCCCTATGTCTACTGACTGACGTGATGCTACTGACATTGTGTCTGTGCTGTACTGGAAGTGGAACAAACCGTTCAGAAGAGGATGCAATTTAGATCAAAGGACGTAATGGAATAACGCTCAGATTACTTCAGAATGCACACAAGGTTCTCACAGCGGACTCTCAACACTGATTTGAGGAAATCATCTGGAACCTTTGTAAAAAGACATTGCACAGTTCTTGCAACATCTCACCATACTTGAACTTGCGCTAGCAGACATCTCCATCTGCTTTTCTTTGCTCGCAGACTTTTGGGTCAGCATTCAACATATTGGGGACACATTGCAGCTTTCGTAAGTAGTTTGGGGAATGTCACCAATGCAGTTACGCACTTGTGCGTCTTGAGCCGCTCGCGCAAAGCTCCCTCGCCGAGGCCCTCCTGAAAGTCTGCCCCGTAGTTCTCCATCTCGCACCTCAGATCAAAAAGGGAAGCCATCACGACGTCAGCATCCGCAAGAACTCCCCTTGACACTTGGCCCAAGGCCATTGTTATCAGGTGTACCGTATTGCATTGCCCAATTGGAGGCCGAAGCACAGAACAATGTAGGACTGATCAATGACATCAGTAGACTATTCACCACTTCTTGAATCCAAGGGGCAGGCTTCTCGCAGTTCGCAATATAAATTGGCTCCAGTGCCAGCAGTGGCGCAAAACGGACAAAGCAGCCGAACTTTTCTTGGAAAAAAGTTGCGGACGCCGGTTTGCTACTGATCGGACCTGGAACCGCCGGCAAGCAACCGGGGCCCCCTGTGACATTAGGGTTCTGTTGTAAGCCTGTGACGGTTTTTTAGGGTCGTGCTACCTTTACTCTGACTGCATTACGATTAGGGTTATACTAACGGCTTAGGCATATTCTTAGGTTTTTAGTGTTGGTGAGGTTCCCGGTAGTCTTGAAACAGTGCCCGGCTAGTCAAACTGGACGGTGTCCGCATCCGTTTGGTTGGCAAGTTCGGCTGCTTTGTGCCTCTTGCTCCAGTGGCAGCAGCCTCCGTCTCCAGCACGTGGTACCCGTGGTAAATCTTGCTGACTTGTCGCCGGTCGTGCGTCTGTCCTGCCACCTGGCATCAGACGCATCGGAACATTTCGACTCTGCAGCCTCTGTAGTCCTGACTCCTAGGTAGGTCCTACTGTACATGGTTGGCCGTCGATGCGACGGCAAGGGCTTGCCTCTTCCTTGATTTCCAACGTAATCAACGGTTGATAATCGCAGTTGGCATCGACTGGCCATATCTCTTTCAACGGTGTAGATGTCTTGGTCGTGAAACCAGCCAACCGAGCAAGCGCGAAACTTCGGCGTCGAAGATCGCGGACATGCACGAAGCGCGCTTCCGCGACTTGCACCATGCACCGGTCGAGCCAATGTGTTCGATTCGTAAGGTGCAACTGCTCCGCACGCGGGGCCCCAGTCCAAAAAATGTCGCACCGTTATTTGTCCAGAATTCCAGGCAATACCGTACGTTTTATCGTCGAAACGGGCCAACCCAAGCACGTCGAACGGCGGGCCCGCGCCGCGGCGTCGTACAGTGCCCAAATGATCGATCCCTATGGTTCCCCTCTTCCTAAGAGGAAGAGGCAAGCCAATAGGTATAGGTATGTGGGGTTCGTCTCTCAAAGAGTTTGAAGCTGTTCCACGATTCTGGCGGCTTGGCGCCATTGGCACTTGCATTCTATGAAAGCAGCAGAGCATGGCTTCAGCACTGCTGTCTTCTGCCCCTCTGCATGCAGCTTCGTTCTTCCAGGTACAAACCGCGACTTCCTCCACTAGGACGTCTCCCGTCCGACAGCTTCCCCCATCCAATCGATTCCTGATTACCCAACTCCCGCAAAGGGCTCTCAGGACTCTGAGCAGGCCGTCCGTTAGGCAAGGGGTTGTGTGCATGGCGACCCGGGAGGAGGAGAAGAGGGAGTGAGTTGCCCCCATGTTTGTTCTGATGGACTTGAGTTTTGATCTCATCAATGGCTTTTGGATAGGAGTTGACACTCAGTTTGTATTGGGTAGAGGGAGCTTATTGTGTTAGAAGCCAGGGTCCTTAGGAAGTAGGGGCTAGCTCATCTAGCTAATTCAATTTCTTGATTGATCAGTGTTGCAGCATTGGGCAGAAAAACCTTTCGAAAGCCCTTTCTTGAGAAGAGCGTCAACAACAGTGTTGGGAGCAACTTATAGCTGCCTCGTGTGTTGGGTCCAACCTCGACCACTTTTCACAATCTTTCACTTCCGGTTGTCCTGTGACATTGGCATTTTTGAATATCTTGAGGCACAATCAGAGCAGCTCTAGTTCCCCAAAATGAAACCATTTCGCAAGCAGTGCAACCTCTGAAAGCTCGTATCAACTTCCATGTCCCATACTCTAGATTCATGTAGTACATCTTGGAATGCGCAGATATTTCTACAAGTCTGAAGCCTTTTGTAAGAATTCTTAAGCATTTTATTTTCCGCGATCCTTAGGTAGACGGTCATCTGCCTCTTAAATAATCTGGTTGGTTGAGCTTCACGTGGATTGACTTGTCATCAGACGCAGTCTTGGGCTATCTTTGCCAGCATTGATACTTGTCTACTTCTTGATATGGTAGGTTTGCACAACCTGAGAAAGAACTGTGGCTTTTGCAGGGGACCTCACCGCTTTCTGCGGTTTGCCGCTGGCGCTGGGGCAGCCACTGCAGCGATCGGTGCGGCAGCGTGGGCCGTTCGCAAGCACGGCGAGGAGAGCTCGCACCACGTGATTGACGAGGCAATTGCTGCAGGTAAGGAGCGGCGATCGATCTTATACTCATACAATCATACACCAGTCTGAACGTGAGCCCAAAGCAAAAGGAGACGTCTTCGAGATCACAGAATAATCAAAGGTCCTGCCTTGACTAAGTTTTCCCTTGATTGTTGCCTGCGAGCCTGCTTGAATCATGATTGTTTGATTGCTTCGGATCCCTAACGGAATCTGCATTTCTCAAATGTCATACATGAGATTGGAAGAGCTCTTTCCATTACAGAAAGCAGAAGACACCTGCTGAGAAAAAATTCACCGAGCAGTCGATAACGATGCAACGAGCAAGCCAACTGGTGCAACCTGTATGTTACATACCCACAGAGAAACTGCAACTCTTTGCACATTGGCGTCACTTTCCACTGTAAGACCTCACTCTGTCCTCCCGTTTCGTCTCTTTAGGTGCTCCCCCTTCGGCAGCGGCCGGGGGCCTCGGTGAAGGCGGCAGCCGTGGGTACACTGTGCAGCATGGAGACACACTCACCAAGATCGCAGACCGCCTGGGAGCGCCAATCTCAGTCATTATGGAGGTGAGCGCAAGTCTGCTCCTGCCTCATTCTTGATACCTAAGTCATTCTGGTGGTTGGGATAGAGCTCAAGTTGAGAACACGAAATTGTTTCGTTTTGGTGCGGTGGCGGAAGCTTCCGAGTAAACAGTGTCATTTCTAAAGAGCTTCTTCTCTCTCAGATCAAGTTTCTGGTCTTTCTTCTTGAAAGGTGTCTCCTGCTCGCTGAGCCCTCAGGTTTCCATGGCTTCACCTTGCAAGAAAGCTTGCATCAATGCCGACCTTGGCATCTTTACGTTGATTTGGACTTTGCGACGTAAATTCCACGCAGGTGTCAACGAAGGTGCACCACACTCGTCTTCAATATTGGTATGCACTGTTTCTGCTTTCTTGCAAAAAGCAGCGAGCAACACATTGAAAGCTATCTACTTCCCGCAGGCAAACCGGTTGAAGGACGACAGGGTCTACGCCGGTCAACAACTTTGGGTTCCGAAGACGTACACGATCAGGCCGGTAAGCAATTCGCTCTTCACGTTTCTTTTAAAGTTTGCGTACTGTTCGCCTGTGCCCCCTATCAACGCGTTCTGGTAGAAACGTTTTGTGGCTTCTGTTGAGGTCGTCTGCGGCCATACCGGATCTCTCGAACTCGTTGCGTTTGCTTAACCTCATTGGCGTATTTTCTAGCTTTTCTTTCGAAGCGGCGATATGATAGCCCCGATCTTTTCGCATACTCGGCGTTCCACTGCTTTCAAAAGTGCAACTCCTGACGTGTCCAATGCTTTGCTATGCCGTGAATCTTTTGCGGCAACCACAGCTTCTCAAAGTTTGACTCTGAAGTTCGAAACCGGCGTTGGGCGACTTTCTGGCATCTTTTCCAACTGCTCGTTCAGCCTACAAAACGCAAACATATTTGCGGAAGACCGAACGAATCACAAGTATTTTGTGCTACAGGGCGACACTCTTTCCAAGATCGCCCGGGAGTTCTCCACCAGCATTGACGTGCTATCCAAGATGAACGGTATCAAGGACCCGGACTTCATCTTTGCAGGTAAGCCCCGGCCCTTGCTAGTAAAGTAGCGCAATGTTTCCTGAGCGAAGATTATTGTCTGCCCGTCGGAATGCAGTGCTCTTCCTGTAAGCGTCTGAAAGGAAGCGGTTTATACCCTGCGTTATAATGGGGTGCAGTGGTCCCCTCGAAATGCAGGACGTACTTCTATTCGCAGCATGAAGGGCAGCTTGACGTCTTGCTGGCCGCTTCATAAAACTGATAAATCTTTCATGGACTGCTTATTTTGCAGTTACCGAGAGTTGGGTAGATAGACGAAGCTCTCTCACGATTGTCTTACTAGCGTGTTCTGGATTGTTGCGGCTACTGATTTGATCATAAATTAGATGAGATTTGTCGTTGGATTCGTGATAGAAACTCATGCTTGATGCCAAAAGCTCTCGACTCATCCGCTGCTAAGATTGTCGTCCTTCTCACGCAGATGACGTCCTGCTCCTTCCCTAAGCTGCCTCGGACCTAAGAAGAAACCTTACAAATAGTCAAACGCCCGGCTCTTCGTGTGTTCGATCAAGAGCTGTTCAATTTATGCTTTTGATCACATGGTCATAAAATAACTTTGGTCCGACGAAGGCCGGTACGTCAGACGTCACGCCAAAAGGAACGACCCAGAACGTTGGAAAGGGATCGGCGTACTTTGGTCCAGACACACGGTTCAAACGGTTTCGTGCGTAAGCACACAGTCGTTTAGTACATAGCTTAGAGTATGCATAGAAGCGCTTTATTCTTGACACAAGCATATTGTAGGTTGACCAGGCTGAACCAGGTCATGGAACGCTTTTTCCAAACAACCCTGCAATTATAGCTGTGATACGGCGTCTAGTTTTCGTCGACTTTCTGTCGTCAGCCGGATGTCCGAACGGGTATAAGCATGTCAGGCCCCGTGATCCCCCTGCGAGAGGTGACAAGTATGAACAACAGACGGTGGATTAGATTTTTATCTCTTCCGAGTCAGCGCTTAAGCTTGCGGACTGACTATATATCACAAGTGTACATGCCGAGGCGCCTAGCAAGCAAATAATGCGTTATTACCATCCAGCACGTACGTCGGATGAAGTTCGATCTTGCTCCGTTGTACATGCGTGAGTATGCTTGCGCCTAGCCTTTGAGACACAATGCGTATGCGTATATACGGATGTGTATACGGCTTTTGCCCAGAACCGGCCTGGCCCCTTTCACAGATATGACCACTCCCATACACTAGACCGCTCTCACGAGACAATGAAATTGAGCGACAACTTTGACGGCCGACGAGAGCCATATGATAGAATGTCATGTGCGAATGATTTGCTCGATCACGCAACAAAACAATTAGGGACACGCGGGTGCATTTTGCAATCAAGTGATACTAAGGTGGTCATCGGCCGGATGCACGGTGTGGCGCGCCCGCGGGCCGGAGCAGGCCGCGCTTAAGGCCGACCGATCATAAGTTCAGCCACGTGATCAGAAACCTGCAAACCCGAAACCTTGGGGGCAACGGTCAGTTTCTCGAATTGCGCGCGGCCGCGGATTGAAGCGCGTCGATTCGTCATCATGCATGAGCTTATCCTCGCGAGGTCCGACAGCCACAGTACTGTTTCAAAAGATGTTACGGGTGTTCCTGGTGTTTCAGCGGAGCTTGCCTTGGATCAGCAGTCAGCTTCTGCAAGCTTGCGACCAGTGAGCAGGCGGAAGGGAATGCAATAGAGAATGGAAGCTCTTCCTCACGGTAAGGTAACACTGGATTTTTCGTTCCAGAATCTTTCAGTCTTTTGTGATGCCTTTGGCTCTGATTTCAGCAAGATGATATAGTAAAAAGCAGCCATTGACACCCTTTGAGCTCGCACAGTAGGACCAGCGTCTCAGAAATGATTGCTTACGGTGACTTCAGGCCAGGACAGCATCTCAGGACAGTTGCTTACCTTGTCTTTGACTCTCCATCTGATATCCAAGTGTCTCACTTCCTGGCTAGAAAAGTATGATGCAGAAGCAATGTGTCACGCGTGAAGATGGGTAATCGCTGATCTGTTGCAGGGGTAGGTGAGCTCCAGCACTAGGTAGTTACAGCCCCTTGTGCTGTCAAAAGAAGCACCAATGGGGCCCCAGACAGCGATGCAGTCGGTCTTCATTGATCTGGACAGCGACGAGGAAGCTGAAGGTAAGGCATGTGACGACGGATTATGTTTCAGCGTCAGCCAGCTTTTCAAAGTGGATACAGACTCCAGACACTCAAGGTCTTGCGTTGTCAATTTCTTGCTGGTTCTCAGAGAAGGTGCAGCAGATACCTACACGGCCTGTTTACTGGGGAATGTGTCCAGATCCAAGCACATAATCACCGGCTGAGAGAGCATAGAAGGAAAGCCTTAATCACCTCGGGTAGCCTGCCTTATGCTGATATCAGCGCTTTTGAACTCAGTGGACTCCCAGAACCAGCTTGGGACAGGCTTGCGCCATGGACATTCTATTCCAGCAGACGTCCTCCAAAGGACAGGAAGCAGAGACTGCTCAACGTCGTGCGGATGGAGGGTGCAGGATCCTCCAGATCCTCTTTAAAATCTCTGAACTATATGCCCATTGTCACCAAAACCGGAAGATGTCACGAAGGCACCACGAATGATGCTTGGGCAGTTAGGTGTACGCTTTTTAACGTCAAAGAGAGACACTCTGACTGCCGCGTGACTGTAAGCGCCTGGATGGCAAGCCGCTGCAATGACACCTAGGAAAGCGCCACTCGCTGCATTCAGCGATCGAAGACCTTCTGAAGCCAAAATGTTACTTGATCCTTTTGGGTCGTGCAGAACTTACTGATGGATGTTTCTTGCCCGAAGCAGCCAGCAGTGCCCACGAAGCATCGGATGACGGGGCACAACAGGCTGAATTCAATGTTGCCTCTGAGCAAGACGAGGAAGTATTGGTGCTGGATTACGAGCAGTATATGGAGCAGCAACAACAGGTGAGAGTGCTCAGCTTTGGACCCTTTACTTTCTTACAAGGCGCTTTGATTGGATTCAGCCAGGACACGTGACCTAAACTGCGTCTGCTTTTCTCTTCTTTTCTGTACCATTGTGCACTCACCGTAGTCTCATGCGTCAATCTCGAACTTGAATAAACGAGCGGGACCATATTCAAGGAAAAGCGCGCCGCTTCAAGGGCCTTGGTGGGTCTCCAAGGGTTTTCATACGCGACTGCAATGAGCAATTTTGGTTACTTTTGATGAAAGGATCTTTTGAGGTGTTGCCTTGTGCAAGGTGTTGACTTGTAAGAAGCCCTCTCGCCGTGTTGCTCAGATCTGTCAACCAGCCCCTGTTGGGACCTTTCTCTCTGATCGCGCAAAACAGTTGCTCAAATACTCGAATCTGTTATCTTTGGCAAGTTTGCAGTAACAAAGGCAGCCTCGTCTGCGGGCGCTCCCAGTTGCGGGTCTTGAAACGCCAATCCTGATGTGCAATCACTTGTATTGCATCTTTCAAGCTGTACTCCAACAAGTGTGAAAGTGTCTACCTGGCAGGATTATTATCTTATCCTTGCTTTGCAATGCAGAAGCTGAACGCGGTGACCATCGAGCAAAACAAGCACGCTTTGGCTACCGTCACCAACACCTTTGCGAGCATCGAGGCCCGAATGAAGAGAGCCCAAGACACTGCCAAATCGCTTCACTCCCACAGGGGCCGGAGCGCGGACTATTCCGCCGGAACGGCCCGCACTCCGCTCATTCCGGCAGCGGAAGCAGCGGAGCCCATTACTAAAAGTCGGAAACAAAAGGCTGTGAAGGAGAGAGTTCGTGACGCGCAGACGCTCGCGTCCGGTACAGTGGGCTCCCCGCCGGCGCCGGCTGCAGAACGGAACAACAACGGACCAACGGAGCAGCGGAACACTGGAGCAGCGGCAACCGTGAAGAGCGGCCGGGGGACTGGAAACGAGAAACGGAAGAAGCGGAAGCGGAAGGCGACGGATGATGACGACTGGCTGCCGGGTGACGAAGGAAACTCGGAAGCGGAGCCCGATGCGCACCCGGCGGAAAAGCGGACCACGCGAGCCAAGGCGCGCGCGCGCGCGGGCCCTCCTGCCGCCCGGGGAGACGAAGCGGGTGCACGCGCGGAAGAGCCGGGTATGCGCGGGGAAAAAACAATTGCTGGAACCAAACAGCCGGCTGCCCAGAAGGTTCGAGCCGATGAGGGGAAGGCCGCTCCGAAGAGAAAGAAGAGAACAACGAAGCAGAGGGATCCCTCGAAGTCGGTTTCCGGGCTAACCGCGCTCCGGGCTTCCATTCAGGCGGCAATCGCGGCCGGGATCGCGCAGGGAATGGGGCTAACGCCGCCAGCCGCTCCGCCGCGGGCGAAAGGGAGGGCGGCCGCGGCAGGGGCCAAGGCCCCGGCAAGGAAAGGTGCGCGCTCGCGCGTGTTCGGGACCGCGTTGTGTGTGTGCGCCATGTGCAGTCGAAGCTGTTGATCTCTTTGGTCTTATCTTTGATTTTTCACAAAGTCGTGAAGGAGCCCCGAAGTACTCCAGCGGCTGTTCCTAGCGTCCCGATTACTATGATGCCGAAGTGTAAGACTTTGTGACGTTTCGCTGACTTTGAGACTTCTTCCGTAGCGACGCACCCGTCCATTCAAATCTCTCAAGCCGTGGAGCTGACGAATCGGGAGCGACTAGCTTGCCCGCAAACTAGGCAGTTGGTTACCGAAACGTTTTAAGAAATAACCGCCAATGTCTACTCAAATCTTAGTCCAGAATTCCTCGCAGTTCAGTGACAGTTCTCAGATCGCCTCTATTTGTGTCTTAAAGCTTGCTTGTGCGACTTTTTTCCAGTCATCACAGCCTCCGTGTGCCACTTGCAGCCGCCGCGATCCCGGTCCCCATACCCCACCAGCCGGTTCGCACCGGCCCCTCTGAGAAAGCGGTCCTCGCAGCGACCAAGAAAATGTTTGGCGCGCTTGACAAGCGGGTGGCCTTTCTGCCCAAGAGCGACTCCGACCACAAGAAAGTCATGGCCTTGCTGGCGAACACCGGGGTAAGGAGTCTGCCTGGGTTTGGAGAGCTCAGAAGGGTCGAAGTTCTGAGCGTTGTGCTTCGGAGGACAATCGTCTAGAAACAATGGATTACCCATCAATCGTAACGTAGACCAAAGACCTTTGTTTCTACCTAAATGGACACCTGAACGTTCGTTGTTTTGGGTGGTAACGTCCTAACAAATCGGCGCAGGTTATCATTCCGCAGGCTCATTACTTCATCGCGTACTCACGAGGCATCAACGTTTACGGCTTCGCTGTCAGAAATTGGCAAAGATTGTGGTGCGCTGTCAGACTGCAAACTTATGAGGGACTTTTCTTGAAGCGCTTCTCGTAGAACACCGGCACTCAATTCTGCATCGAAGTTGTTGTGTCCACAGGTTCCCATCGTGGCCATCCACAAGGTGCTCAACGGCCCCGCGCGCCTGGCCGCCTTTGAGGAGGAGGCGCGCACGCTCGCGCAGGTTGGAATCTGTAACCCTTCTACCTTTGACTGCCACGTCGTCAGTCCGTTCAGAAAGCTTTTCGAATTGATCACCCATGTCTGGCGGTGGGGCTAGACGATATCTGGACAACTTGACGAATGAAGCCGTCACTGCCCCCTGGGTTTACCGGGAAGGCGGGACTGACTTTGGTGAGGTCGGCTCGGTGCGTTAGCTGTACGTGGGTTACGGCGGACATTTCGCGGAATGGGCCTTAAAGCTCCGTCAGGATTTGGTATCACCTCTACGTTTGCCTTAAGGACTTGGTCTGATTACTGTAGTTGCTGTCGAGTACAAGGTCATGTTTGAACCTTGTTGAGCGAATTATGATGTGCTTCAAACCCTGTGTCTCGCGCATGCTAAGCGGTTTCTTGAGGGTCTTCAAGGGTGTCTGACTTGTTTTCGAGAAGCTGAGTGCCGGATTGCTAAGAGAGAACGGAGCGGCAACCGCTCCAGGTTTGACGTGACCAGCTGTTGGTCACTCATGCTTAAAGAAATAAGCCTCAGGAGCGTTAGGTGTCGCCAGCCTCAGACGGGTGCTTCAAATAGTGCGTTCGTGCTCGGTTGCGGTTTGAAGCGGTTAAACTCCAAGTTGGATTACGGCGCTCTACGCCGACACACAGTAGTCCGTCCGAGATTACTTGCCCTCTCAACTTAGATGATCTTGAAATCTGACGCCCTCTTCTATTCTCGCAGGTGCGCCCGAGCGGTGCAAACGTGCAGCAATGCTGGCACGGGACATCCGAAGACGCCCTGCTATCGATCCTCAAGACGGGATTCACGGCGAGCAGAACCGTGCACGGGAAGTCGCACGGGAACGGATTGTACATGGCTCCCGGGAATCAGGCTGGCACGAGCATGTAAGCAGAGATTGTGCTTGCGTTACAACATGACATGCTTTACTATATGGGAAGCCATTAGAATTGCATGTTGTCCGCTTGAGTCCATTTTAGCGCGAAGTGGATGAAGTCACTTGGTTGCCCCATCCACCATCGTTCTTTCTTAGAAGACGCAAAGATCGAAGCCGGTTCACCATGATCGTTTTGCCTTCACATCGAGTCGTCAGTTTCAAATTCTTGTCAGTTTCTTGCGTCCGACCGAACACGTGACTTTTCTTGTCAGGGGCTACGCCCGAGCCGGCGCATCGGGCGTGAGCCACATGTTTCTTCTGCGGGTTATTTTGGGCGGCGTTGAGCAGGGGCAAGCGGGGACGGACCTCCCCAGCAACCCGGACCTGTACGACTCCGCAGCAAACTATGTTCAAAGCCCAAGCGAGATCATTGTGTGGACCCCATACCTGTACTCCAGAATTCTGATCGAGTATGTGATCAGCTTTCGACCCAGGGTTGGGATTTGAAAGGGAGAGCGACGGGTGGCATGAACAACACCTTTGAGCAGCTTGACTTTTGAGTCAAAATGTGAAATGAAGTTCGACCAATCTAGTAGTACAAAATCGTGAGCACATCTCATTTGAGGAGCGTGATGTTATTCTCACGCGTTTCACTCCTTTTGGAATTAGAGTATCAACTTAAAATGGCAAGCAGATGCATATTTGAATACATGTAGATTTGATGTGTTCCTGCCGTCGTCGAGTCAAGTTCCCCGTTGCCTAATGCCTCGTCGTGCAAGATCCTACCCCAATTACAAATGCCAGATCCGTTTCCCAACTCAAGCATGCCAACAAGTCCGAGGCATGCCCCAATGAAGTTAGAATCAGCCGAATGTTTCCATCTTCACAAATGGACCAATCTCATGCATCACCCATAGTTCCGATATAGTCAAAACCGCATGTGCTTCAGTCTTTTCACATCCGTATCACAGTTTTACAATATCGGTTTGGAAAGATTACAATCAGGTGCCAGTAGTCAAAGCAAGCTGCATAGACATTGCACGAGTCTCCCAGGCATGCTCACGATTGCAATGATAGTGGCGCTAAGACCTTAATAGGGCAGCCTTTATTAGACTAGAAATAGAATGTAAATTCGCAAGGGGCCCGACGTCTGCACAACTTGCAATTGAGTAACTTCCATGGCGATATGATAATACTTGGATTACATCCGTGTCAAGTGTCATGTCCGTGTTCGACAGGTAGTACATAACCCGAAATTTGAATGCACACGTGTTGCTACCATCAGCAGCCTGGCGATCATAGTGCCTTTTACCGAAACACGTATCTCTTACACGTCGGAAAGCCAACGAGTTACCCCCTGGCATGCCAGCTGCAAGCCGCTTACATGATTTGTAGAAGCTCTGAATACCCAGATATTCTCATGTGGATATCGTCGTTCTAGAACCACACACCACCGTGATCCACTTTGAAGCTGATCACGTACTCGATAAGGATCCTGGAGTACAGATAGGGCGTCCAAACGACTCTCTCGCTTGGGTCCTCCAAATGGTCCACAGCAGAGTCGTACAAATCCGGATCGCTTGGGAGGTCCATCCCCGCGTACCCCACCTCGACGCCACCCAGGATCACCCGCAGGAGGAACATGTGGCCCACGTGGCCGTCACCACCGCCAGTGTAACCTCTGACGGAGGTACGTACCGGTTTGAGAATGGGTTCTGCTAAGCTGAGTTGTTTCACTGCCCGGGAGACGGGTACGACAGATCTAGGGATTCAGGGTGCGGAACATCTCAGAATTGAGTTTTTTATGTGTGTGAGCACAGGTCAGGGTAATTGACCGTACTTGCTGACTTTAAGTAGAAATTTGAGTGAAACGGTGGAGAGCGCAAGTAAAATGTCGGTGTGCTGGAGAAATTCTGCCAAAAATGTCGTCTGGTGATCAGAATCTGGGGCAGCAAACTCGTAACTACTATGGCTACTGATGAGAATGAGCCCTTTCGGAATCCCCCGCGGCTCTTCTAGTGTTGTTTTTCGAAATCCATGATACGTTTCAGACGCAGGCCAAACCAAGGGCAAAAGTGCGGGTCATGAGAATGTCTCGCCTCAACAAACTCGCGTTCAAACATGTTTGCGAGCAGCCAACCAAATGAAACAAGTTTATCTAGCCGCTCAAACGCACGCTCCTACCAATTCAAACACTCATACGGACCTTCTCCGCCAGATTAAGGCCCTCTTTCAAAAGAGAGATACTTGAACCAGCCCCATGCGAGGGCACGCAGCGCGACCGTCAGAAGCTTCTCCTCATTGACAGAAAATCAATTCTCCTGGATAAGGGCAAAACTCTTCAAGTCGCAAAGCTTTAAAACCTCAAGGAATTCAGATCTTGGACCTCGAAAGCCTTCAAATAGATCAGGGAGGGGGGTAGGAAGTAACGAAGCGGAAAGGAAAAGCGACGAGACTGCTTTTAAATAGAAAGATAAGGGACGGAGGAAGGGTGGGGGGCTAACATAGATACAGAAATGGGCACGTTAGGCGTGCTCACATGCTGGTGGTTGGTGCATGCGTCGGCGCCATGTAGAGCCCGTTTCCTGCCGACTTGCCGTTCACGGTCCGGCTCGCGGTAAAGCCCGTCTTGAGAATTGACAGCAGGGCTTCCTCGCTGGTGCCGTGCCAGCAAACCTGCACGGCATCTCTCCGATTCTGAAGAAACAAGCACTAGTGATACGTAGTAAGCTGGTAGCCCAATCCTAAAATCCGAACCTCAAATTCACTCGCTGCGCGCTCGAACCCACCTAAACCCCAAGAAAACTGCACCCGTCTGAGGCTGGCAAGCTTACTACAGCTCTTTGTGTCATCGGGCTACAAGTGCTTCGAGCATGTTTTTTATCTTGAACCGTCCGATTGGCCAGGAACGCATCAACGGCTCAAGATCAGGAACCATGCTCGGAGGCTCGGAGGAATCGGAACTCAATCTCAAGTTTGATGCAAGCAGCTGTATGTCCAACGCCACTGAAACAGGATGGAGGATTTTATTACCTGCACGTTTGCGCCCCCCTTGCGCACCAGCTCAAGCGCGCGCGCCTCCTCTTCGAAAGCGGCCAGGCGAGCCGGCCCGTGTACCACTTTGTGGATGGCCACGATGGGGACCTTGACACACAGAGAGCTTGCTTCGAAATGCAGACCGCGAGAACGTCTACGGCGCCTGCTTTTTGCACTGTTTGATGGTGTCAAAACGCGCAGCATTTCTGCTTTTAGAAAGGCAGTCAGTTCAACGGAAAGGTCCAAATGGTGCGCATCGAGCCAAACTTTGGCAATGAGCTAAGAGTGGAAGCAGGTCAGGAAGACAGGTCGGACGAACCGTGCAGAAATCTAGGGACCGCCCCCATCCAGTGGGAAGCTGTTTTAATCAAAGGCTTCAAAAACTTGAGCACTGACTGCCTCATTCACATCAGATATCAACCGATAGAATGCTAAACCCCAAAAACTTGATACTCAAAACCCTCAGTGACGCCTCACCCCGGTAGCTGCTAAGTGTGAGGCCATGATTGTATTGTGTTCGGCGTCGCCCTTGGGCAGAAACGCCAACCGGCCGCCCAGAGCCGCAAACAGCTGCTTGGTCGCGTCCAGAATGGCCTCCTCGGAAGGCTCCGGACGTCCGTACGCGTTGATCCAGTTCGGACCGGCTGGGATGCGGGGGAGCACCGCTGCAGGTACCGTATGGGCAGTGCTGATATTGGGACCCTTCTAAAATGTAAAGCAGAATACAAAACAACGATCTTTTGCAAGGCCTGAGGGAAAGGATACTCAATCAGGTTTCGGAAGAGATTGACGTTTGAAGTCCTCTTTCGGACTGATCTGGATGCTCGTACGCGTTGGCGTACGACTGCAGTCCGGTCCGCTGAGATGCGAAAGAAAGCATCAGAAACTTCATGTTTCAGGTACAGACACGGTGTCTTATAAAAGCGACCGGGACGTATATCAGAAGCAAAGCTATGTGCATCCTTACGCCAGGAGAACACACCGTACTGGTCCAGTAATCGTTCTCACAGCCGTTGATTCAGACAGAACGTTACAAGCTTGCGCACCTTTCACCCTCCGACCTGCTGCGGCCTTTTTCTTGGGCTTGGGAACGCGGCCCCCACGCCCCGCCGCCCCCGCCCCCGCGGCCGCCTGTCCTTTCCTTGGAGCCAAACTCTGGGCTACCGGCTTTTCAACCGGGGCCTGGTCGGACGCGGCGCGTGCTGCTTGGCTACTCGCCGCCCTAGTTCTAGCTGTCCCTTTTTGCTCGGGGTTAATAGTCAGGTGGCCCTCCCCGTCAAGCAGCCGTTCCTCTTCACCTTCCGTTGCCTTTCTTTTGCCTCTCCGTTCCGTCTGCTTCCCAGCCTTCTTTTTCTGCAACTTTTCCGTTCCTTCCGCTCCTATCAGCGGAGCGCTGCCCTCAGCCACGGAACTCTGCGAGACTTTTGCGGCCTGATCTAGGGCCTCCTTCATGCGGGCCTCGATGCTCGCGACTGTGTTGGTCACAGTGATCAGTGCGCGCTTGTTGTGCTCAACTGTCTTTGCGCGCTGCTTCTGCATAGACGCACAAATCTACCTTTTATGCACAAGGAGGTAGGCACGTAAATTCAGTGACCGCAGAGTATCTCAGTATAGCGCCTACGTCCATGAATCGAATGTCTGCTTGGGACTTAAAAGGGGAACGCGGTAGACGTTCTCAGAAGCTGCAGAACCCATTAGCAAGGTGACCCACTGACAAACCTAAGACGGCATAAAATTCCTGGCACAAAGAATCTGGTGACTACATTTCAAATGAAAGGATTCCACCCAGAACCTTGATGTCTGTGCCTGTGGTCGCCTTCTTCGAAGATCTTCTGCCGAGTCGATAACAAGATGTTATGCCATGCCCTACTGGTCTTTGTGAGTCTGCTGGACAGACAACTGACAGCCTGTGAAACCCTTACTGGACTGCGATTTGCCTTCGTGCAGAATATTCAATTCTCGCGGTCCTGGATTGACAGTGGTCTTCCTGGATGAAGCACTTGCCCGCAGGTGTCGATCCTCGACCTGTGCCTCATCCAGCATCACCACGTCATCCTCCAAAGAGGACGTCCGAGCAGCCGCACCAAAAGCCTTTCCGTATCCGTTCCAGGTTCCGTTCCCAGTCCCGGTTCCGGTAGTCGTGCAACTTTCAGAATCTTCCAGGAGGATGATCGTTGAGCCAGAATGGCGTCTTTGCTGCATGGCAGAGATTGAGACCTTTTCAGGAGACCGACCAACCCATGTGTTTCTGTTGTGCAGGATGACGCAATGACCCCCTGCTTTTCACGAGCAAGGGGAGCTGTTGATTGACTTATTACAATGGGCGTTGTTTAAGGTTGATTCACACTTCCCTTCTCTGTGGCTCCGGGCTCTGCTCGTTGAACAAGAGAGTCGAATGTAAGCATAGCGAGGTAATAGAAAACGTCCCCACCTGGATATTGTTGGCAAACGGTCATCAAGAGAGGTGCAGATCTGACAGGACACACGCGTAGATTAAACAGAAGCGAGAGCAAAATGAAAATGGTCTTGCCTTCCTGCTGAAGTGGGCGGGATCAAGCTCGACCAGATCATCCTCATCCTCCTGCTTGGCAGTCGTTTTTCCGGAAGGTTGGAGAGGAGCACCTGCTGTTTCTGCAGGAGAGACGATGCCGTCGTATTTATCGATATAAAGCAACACTAATCAAGACCACACGGTTCCCTTGGACTAAAGTCCTTTGTAGGGGACCGTCAAGAACGCTTTCAATACAAAAAGAGGTCGTCTAGTGCAATTGCAGATTGCAGAGACTGCTTGCAGCAAAGTAGTTAGTTGCCTAATAATCCTTGAGGTTGTTATTAGCGGAACAGCTCAGAGAAAAAGGTCTGCTGAACCAACCCACTGAGCCTAGTGCAACTTGGCAAATGATCAGGCTGGTTTGTCAGTGAATCTGGTGTTATGATGAGGACCATACAAGTGCTCTATCCAGCCAGCGCAGCGCTGATAACCGGGTCTTCTCAACATCATTTTGCGTCTCACTTCAAGTGTTGACTAATTTTGACACATTCAAGGTACTGGTGCTAAGCATGGCTCCTGTACAAGCATGTGCGCTTGCAAACTTCTCAAGCGATTGTTTCTAGGACCGGTGTCGCAAAGTTATCAGGATAGAATTCTAGAATGCAGAAGGGTGTAACAGAGTCTTGAAGTGGAGTCAACGGAAGACTGACACACCCAGTCCCCGTGCCCTTTCTTTCAGACACCTGGCTTTACTAGCTTCTACTTAGCAAGCATGCCATCAAATAGCATCGAAGCGGCTAGAGTGCAAAAGTGGAAAGAACCAGAGGACAAACATTTCTGAAAGCACTTCCACTCACTAGCGCCTACGTCTTCCTCACTCTCCAGGTCAATGAAGATCTGGAACTCAACCATCTTGCCCTGGAGTGAGACACCAGTACTGCGCCCCAACGACGAAGTTGTCGAGGACGTCTACCTAATCTGAGCTGCGCCCGCAAGCCTGCCGTAGCTTCCCTTCTCTCAGAAGGCGCGCGGAATACAGCCAGCTTTGATAAGCCTGTCTTTTGCAGTCTGGTTCGGAAATGAAGCTTGGAAGCTTATCATGACCGTTGACGGGAGTCGGGCGGCCAACATGCGACGCGCTAATTTTACGCCGGGTTTCTAAGAGGTTTAGAAAGGGTGCGCGCCGCGCGCAGCGTGAGCGCCGCGCCTTAATTTCGACACTGTCCAAGCCCTCTGCGCGCGCGCATTTTGGTATTGGAATTTGAAGCTGCTCACGAAAGAGCGGCCACCACATTTCAATTTTCAGAAGCTCTGTTCAATGCTGATCAAAATAAAATGTCATGAGCACTTGAATTGAAGTGCAGATTGTGCTGCTGCTTGTGGCGGCTAGGAAGAGTAGCTTCTTGTTTGGACAGCCTCTCCCGAAGCTCAAAGGATAACCGTAATAAGGTGAGTTGTTTCTAGCCCAAACAACCAATGAATGCAGGTGCGGTCGTCTTATTTTCTGGCTTTGAAAAGGCACTCACATTGTGTTCAAAAAGGTGAGCACTTAAGTGCTCTGTTTGAGTTTTCTTTCAAACGGTGAAACCAGTGGGAGATTGCATTGAGCTCAACATCACTTGATGATCGGCAGCCCCTAGTGAAGCACCAAATCATTGAGAGTTTTCACCATCACAGTCGTGCATCATAAATCCTGCATTGTGTTTTGCATTAGCAAGTTGCTGCACTGGAAGATCGCAGATCAATCTGATCACGTTGAATGGCTGCAGCTTGGTGCAACTATTCAATAATACAAACATCTCGTTAAACTCCAAATTGCATGGAGCTCGCTTGCTTCAAACCTCACCAAATTTCTCGCAGCACTTATGATTGTGCAGAACTTGTTCTGCTTTGCCAGGTCTCATAGGTTGTACCTGCTCTTTTCCTGTGCAGGGACTGAAAAGTGCAATGAAGTCCGAAAGGTGGTGAACTTGTGACTGGTCAACTTGTATCACGCAGAGTGGCTGCATTGAGTGACAGCATCTGCTTGGACGCTGAGTCTGAAAGAGAAGGCAGGCACTCATAGCAACTTAACTTACCTTTAGTAGGTCGTCAGCGTTGGCCCTTGCAGATCTCGTCGTTGGAGACCCACCAAAATGGCAGAAGATAGTAAAGTTCCCACCGTTGAAGATGGACTTGCGACAGGGGTACAATCTGTGGGGGGCGTTCCTGTGCTGATGAAGGAACAATTGCCCGTAGCAGTGACGTTAGATGAGGAGGACGTTGATGCGGCGAAGGAAAAGGAGAGGGTCCTGGCGGCATTTCACTCAACAGCGCCAGAAGCGGTACCCAAATCAGCATCTGAAACTGCGCCAAAGGGAGAGACAAAGCAGGTTGGCCTGGCTACAGGAGTCCAGTCTGTCGGTGGCCTGCCTGTTGTGGCAAAGCAGGTCGCAAGCGCTGAGAAGGATGATGACGCAAACGATGCAGCCAGGGAGAAAGAGAGGGTCTTAGCAGCATTTCACAGTGATATGCCACCAGCAGAGGTGGCAGCTACTCCTCCAGCAGCAAGTGAATCTGCGCCGATCGAAGTTACAGGAGATGGGGAACCAGTGTCAAAAGCAGGCAAGAAGGGGACCATGTTTGGTCTGAAAGACAGAGTTGCACTTGCATTCAAGTCTGAACCAAAGTCCGAGAAGGATGGAGGGAAGGGCACAGAGGAGGAGACGATGGGAAAGGAGGGGACGAAGCCGGGGACACCAACATTGAAAAGCAGGGTCTACCAGAGTGTCGGTTCGATTGGTGATAAGGTCAAGTCTCAGGCCTCTTCACTAAGATCGTCATGGAAGTCTGAGACCAAAGTGGGGGCCGATGCAAGCTCTGAGGCTGTCCCACCTGAAGGCGAACCGGTCAAAGTAAGTGCAGCGGAGCTTCAAGAGGCCAATCCGGCGGGGCCTCCTTCAGATCTGGCAAGCCCCGGCGCAGAAAAGACGACGGTGAAGGAGCGGGTTATCCAGAGGGTGGGGTCTCTTACTGAGAAGATGAAGCAGCAAGCAAACTATGTGAAGGCGGCTTGGAAACCGGAGGACAAGAAGCCAGTTGCTGCGGACGATCTCAGGGATGATGCAGAGAGTTCCAAACCAGAGGCCTCTTCAGAACTGGCTGTGGAGCCTGCGCCGAGCTATGAGTATGGGGAGGGGCGGGTCACAGTGTTTTCCATCAGTGGGTGCCCCCACTGCAAGGCCGCCAAGGCGCTGCTGAAGAAGAAGGGCGTCAAGTTTGCAGAGATCAACCTGGACGTGTTCCCAGAGAGGCGGGAGGAGATGCAGGAGCGAACCGGGAAAAGCAGCTGCCCCCAGATCTTCTTCAACGAGAAGCTCATTGGGGGGAACGATGCCCTGCAGGTGCGCTTCTTTGCTTCTGCGATAATCAGGGCAAAAGCCACTGTCTGGACACCGGATTGTAACGTGTGTCCTTCGTACTCAAGGCAAAGTGGGTTGGGTAGAGTAGGTGTATCTTCAGTCTATGCCGACTTACTTGTGGCAGGTTTGGGTTTTACAGTCACAGTCAGAGGGTCTCGACTTTGGGTCAGTGCGCTGATTAAGCAGATTATCCACACTTGAATTGTCGTTGGTTTGAATTTCTCCATCCCTTGGACGTCCTTGATCGCTTCTATGTAGAGACATCATTACGATTCAAGTCTCGCAGGCACTTCCTCTACCTCTCCTTGTAAACTTCAGACCAGCCCCCTGCTAAAGCCGATTTTTAAGGAGCAAGCAACAGAGGGCATCTGCGGATATGACAATGGATTCTTAGTTCTGAGGTCGAAACGAGTCCGTTTCGTAGTAACATTCCCATTGCTAAGCTTTCCTGATCCGAGTCAATCATTTGCTTGATATTCTTGCAGACTGAGATGATATTGCGAGGATGTCCCGTCAAGCATGTCCTGTTGGCTGGAAATAAGGACTTCTGATCTCCGATTCGAAATGATGACTGCAAATGGTGAAATCAAGCGATTACAAAAGCCACCAATCATGCAAACAAACTCCCGATGTCTTGCACTTGCAGGCACTGGAAAACGACGGGAATCTGGATGCAGAGCTGAAGCTTGTTCACGAAACCCGTAAGGACTCCCTGGCCGCCGTTGCTCGTCTCCATCTTTCATCCATCTTTGGTTGGTCGTCAACTGTCTGACTTCTTTGGGGTTGCAGCATTGACTTGAAGCGAATGGCCGCATATTATCTGCTAAGAGGTCAAAGGTGCGCTGCTATGCTTCTGGCAGCAGCCACCAAGTTTACTTCTCCGAACCCGCTGGTTAATCTTCCTCAGTGACTACAGTGCAGCGAAGGTCGATCGGCGATGGGAGTATGCGCAGGGCCTCCTAAGTTTTGGCTGTGCTCACAGTGGCCCCGTTTAGTCCAACCCAGGCCTAATCCTGTCAAAAGCACCAATAAATTTGCTGCTAAGCTTCGTCGGGTTATCTATAACACAATAGTCTTTGTCTGCAGCCGTTCCCTCCTCCGCCCCCGCAACCCCCGGCCCCAATAAGTCTGCCGCCCCTGTAGCCGACGAAACCCCTGACAAGCATCTGGAGACAGTCAAGTGGCTCCGAGAGAAGCTGGCAATCAAGGACCGGTGGTACAAGCTGCGCAAGTATGACCGGTGCTTCGTGGGCTCGGAAGCGGTGGACCTCGTCGTCGAAGAGAAGAAGATCAGCCGGCACGAGGTAAGCCCTCCAGAACTCGCAAGCCCTAGATTCTTACAGACTTTGGAAGCTAAGCGAATCTAGTGATAAGGGTCGCAGCAAGCGGAGTACTGTATTGACCAAGCTCTTGTTTGACTCAGTGTTTAAAGAACCCGTTTCTAACGTGCTGTTTTGAAAAAGGTCGACGTTCGGGAAGTCTCGTCGCAGCGTTCTTTGGCTGACGCACGCTCCGCTTCTTGAGTATTGAGACATAAGGCATCTAAAGGGAAGGGGGAGGCTCCTAGGAAGCATCTTGTCTGCTTCTGTAACTCTCCACATCAAAGAGCCGGTCTTCGAGAATCGGAATGAAAAGTGTACTACATGCGATCGTGCGGTCCGTCCCTTGGGACTTAGGAGTAAGTCCACTGCATATTTCACATGTGCAGGCCACGTCACTCCTCCAGCAGCTGCAGACGAAGCACTTCTTCCATCACGTGCTACGGGTAAGGCAAGCATTGCGAGTTCGAATATCTTTTGTGGTGCAAACTGATGGCATCAACTTTCTGCATCTGCACCGTCTCATCTCACTATTGTTTCCCCTTTTCTTTGGAGGTCTAGAGGATGCTTTACCGTAAACGATTATACGCTGATCATTGCTCGACACCCCGAACATGTGTTGTATCACCAGCTCCTATCGCTTTCCCGACTCCTGCCCATTGGCGAACCTACTCCTTACGAGGACTCTCTCAAAGACGGCCCCTTACTACAGTCTTGCTCCTTCCGTCAGGCTCCTTCCGTCTTATGAGCCATCCCCTGATCATAAGCTATCCTGTTCACCATCTCCTATCGTCCGCCTCAGGAGCACTCCTTCAAGGACAGCCCCCTCTTTTACCGCCTCCTGGAGCACGAGCCGTTCGGCAAAACCGCCGCCAACTGGTCCGGCGCGACCAGCGATTTGGAGCCGCCCCCAGCGGTCGAGCTCGGCACGCGGATGCGCAAGATGATCCTCGCTGTGTACGACGAGTTCTTGTCGGACGACGGGCGCCACGTGGACTACCGCGGGATCGCCAAGAGCGAGATCTTCCGGAGGTGAGGGCTTGCGTCAAGAAGGGTTTCCATGTAAGGGAGAGTAGGCGGGGCAAGATCATCTCTCTTCAGGTTTCCGTCCACGTTCAGAGTGATCCTTTTTCCTTGTTGATTGCTTTTGGTTCCGTCTGCATTTGAGTGGAAGAAGCAGGGAGGCTTTTATGAAAAAGCGATCCTTATCTGCATGAGCGAGGCCAGACTAGGGACCAGACTGGGGCTTCCACCACATCATAATGATGTTCGTGTCGTCATGAGGTCGATAAAATACTGATTTCAATCGCTTCTCTCCTGCTTCCCACTCGCTCGCGTTGATCGATGCAATTGCTGGCACAAGTGATTCAACTGTCCTTCCGAGTGTCGTCGGAACAACTACTGCCGCCCCATGGCAAGCCCGTTCGAGAAGTATAATCGATCTGAGTCCAACCCTGCAAACCGCAGCATCAGATCAGATTGACCCCTGCTTCCCCAACGGATCTGTACCAGCATCCCGCCCTGATCCAGCAAGCTGACCTTGGCGAACCAGAAGCCACGATGCCCCAGGACTGGAACGTCTGCTCCCTCGCCACCTGAATGCAAGCGCTGAAACTCGTCTCTTTTCGCTGACGTGGCAGGTACGTCAGGCTGACGCTACAGCTGCAGCGCGTGGACGTGCTGGCGCTGTCGCGCGAGGAGAAGCTGGCGTTCTTCATCAACATCTACAACGCCCTCGTGATCCACGTCACCGTCGTGCTCGGCCACGGGCCCACCACGCTCGCGGTGCGGCGCCACTTCTTCACTGAGCACACGTAAGTCTTGGAAGGAATTCGTCTGTCTCGGCAGCTCAGTGATCAGTTTGAAGAGTCACGGCCGATGTGTCGACATAAGCCAGATTATGCGTGGATGGTCGGTGGTCTGGGTCAGAACGGTGCTTTTCTGACGGGCTTAGTGCAAAAGGCAGTTATCGTTCAGACGTTGAACAGAGCCCGCGATTTGAACGCCAGGAGGTTCCCCCCCACCTCACTCATCAACCTCCACTTCCAGAGACTCAAGGTTGGCTTCGGTATTCTAGTCATCATCCGACAATAAACTGCCAAACTTTACGACTGCACTACTGGTCTCCGCGTTTCCGCATCTCCGCAATTCCTGGCTGCACATTCTGACCCAACATTTCTTGCGCCCGCAGCTACATCATTGGCGGCTCGTCCTACTCGCTGACGGCCATTGAGAACGGGATCCTCCGGGGCAACAAGCGGCCGCCCTTCTTTTTCTCCAAGCCCTTCGGCGACAAGGACGACCGACTGCCGGTGCGTGGCCCCCTCTTTCAACCTTCAATTTTCATTACCGCTTCTGTTCGCAAGCTGACGTAGGCCTTCAAGACGGGGTTCTCTAGCCCCACTGGTGTACGACCTACAAGTACTCGATTGGTACGAACTTTGCGAAGTTTGCCGATTTGTCCTCTTCTCATTAGATCTACAGGGATTTCCGGGGGAGTGATTCCGACGCACACGGCTGCACGTCAATTCGGCAGGAGCACGCCATCACCGTGAAAGAATTTGAAGACGCAGGCTTGGTCAATGTCAGCGGAATGCATCTGGAGCGAGAAGCTCTGCCTGCGCACATGGTTCTGCCAATCGGACGCGACTCCTGGCGACTCCACCGCAACAGGGGGCAGTGACCCCCGCCCTGTGATGAAGTGGGCTCTCAAAACGAATTCTGGTCAAGCCTTTGAATGTGTCGAGTGGAAATACATGGGTGGAAGTGCTCTTCGAGTAATGACAAAAGACTCGTTTTGATAATCCAGGTGGCGCTGACGACACCCGAGCCGCTGATCCACTTTGCGCTCGTGTGCGGCGCCAAGAGCTGCCCGCCCGTCAAGACGTACGAGGCCAAGGCGGTGGACGAGTCGCTTAAAGCTGCGGCGCAGGGCTTCTTCGAGGGCGGGGGCGCGACGGTCGACGTGGAGACCAAGACGATCCACCTGAGCAAGATCCTCAGCTGGTGAGGCAAAGGATGAGCCGCTCGATAAAGCGGTTGGGGATACTTCTGTGTCAAAAAGAACTATCACAACGATATCACCGAATGAACGGTGACATCGTTGTTTCTGAGCTGGGAACAGCGTGCCGACAACTTGAGCATGTTTCGACGAGCCGGAAAAGTACAAATGAATAGGCAGTTCGTCTGCTATATTTGACTGCTTAAGTTGCTGAGCAGGTTGCTGAGAATTCTATTCCGAGAGGGAGTGCAGCTCTGCAAGGTTGACCACCGTAGTTATGGCAGGATCTTTCGGCATCCACCCTATGTTTTTTGGTCACTAGTAAAGCGAGGCCCGGAAGTCTCTACTAGGGTGTGGTTTAAGAGGTGTTCACGGAGACAGATTCGCAAAGATTTTCCAACGCTGCAGCCCTGTTTACCGGAGTACCAGCTTTGCGAATCAACGCTGTCTCTCTTCCACAGGTACAAGACTGACTTTGGCGCGACGGATCTGGAGGTCCTCAAGTTCGTGGCCCGGTTCTTGACTCTGAAGGAGCGGGACAAATTGGAGGCATTGATAGGCGAAGGAAAGTACAAGATTGAGTACCAACCATACGATTGGAGTGCCAATAGCGCAGAGTAGACGGATCCAGCCCCCGTGTAGCCGGGTGCCCATCAATCGAGGCTGTTATATCAATAACCCTGCCTGATACTGACCTGCCACTGTGATAGTTAGAAGCAGCGGTTCTGCCAGTCCACAAGTCTCTAGTCCTTTAGTATCTTGGAATGCCACAGTCGCCAAGTAATTATACTGCAGCCGCTGGACCCCTGCAGTCCATCCACTGTACGTTTCGTTAGCAGTACTGAAAATAGGTTGAAGTAGGTACATGAGTATAAGAGTCTCTTGTCGTTGAATATGCACGTCTTGAACGTTGGATAATAGTCAGCGTTCATTTACGTCTTGGTTCATATATCTCTGCACAAAGAATGATGAATACGATCGATTGCATTGAACGCGATATCGAGTCTTTCTAGTGCTACACAAAAAAAGGAGGGGGTATACATCTATGGAGCCTTCCGGCAAATTGTTGAAAGGACGTCACAGACTAAGCACTGCCGTGTCGCGAGGGGACCGTCTAAGCTAGCTGCCCGGCCGTCCATCACTGTGCTAAAAGCTACTAACGGTATGCTGGTCAAGAAGCTTCCAATTGCGGAGGTGCGGACATGGTGCATTATCATAAAATTGAAAGGCAGGTGAAACTTTCGAAATGATTGTTCATGCGTGTACCTACACGGGCACAGGAAGAAGTCTGCTCCAAATCGCGCCGAACCATTGAATCACAATAAATCTCAGTGCTAATCAAACTCACCGGTGCCAGATCCAAGCTGTAAGCATGGCGTGTCGTAATCAGCGCACATGGGATCCTGGATTGCCGCCTCAGCGCGGCGGCCGGCCCAGCTGCATGCAGACTGAGCATATACTTTTGCCGCGCGACAATAGTGATTGTGTATAATCATCCAGCACAGGTGAGCCATGCTTAGCTACTCAAAATGCAGTCAAACTTTAGCTTCTGTTGCACTAGCTCAAGAGTCTTTTGCGTGAATCATGCACCAACGTTCACGCAGGGTTGACGATGCAGCGTTATCGAACCGACCGTCTCTGCATCGACACGTTGTCGCTATATAAAAGTGAAAATAAGACTGTCTCTATCTCCTCCTCCCCGGGCCCAGCTTCCAAATTCGCCTCGGTGCACTGGGCCTAGTGCCACTTCGCCCAAGTATGAACCAATTCTCCCAGACCCATGTGCTTCCAGATAGCAGCGGGAGAAATGCGGAAAAGCATCAAGCCGTGTACATCGTGCAAACCGCTAGTGTCAAGCTTTGCAGGCGCCGGCGTTTCGCAGTCCCCCCGCTTAGGCCGCAGGATACGTGGCTCTCGGTCGGAGGAGTGACCTGCAGATGTTATTTACAATCAGGTTTAGACGTGGATCTTCGATGCAAAGTGCATGACAGAAGCATCTTGCAAGCAGGCAAAGCCTTGCAAACTATACGGCCGCGCTCGTCCGTCAACATATTCTGATCTGGATTGGGGAACTCTTGAGCTTAGCTAGAAGACTGTGGCCGGCAAACACCTGAGCGGTTCAGTCTGGTGAGTTGCACCATCCTCTCGAGCGCCCGCTTCTCCTCTGTCAAACGTGCATTCTGCTTCAGGGCCTGCAACCGGGGCGACTCCGAGAATGATGAGAATCTCTCATTATTATGCTCTTAGTTTTCTCGAAGAGTTGGACATTTCTACAACGAGAGGGATCTGCTGATCGAACGTCAATTGTGTGAGCGAGCCGATGCTTTCTTCCTGCAATATCGTTTACACGTCTGCCGGAAACAGTGCTCAACATGCTGACAATCATGAGCGATGTGAGCGAGCATACCTGGGCGTACGATACGGCGAGTCTCTCCATCCGGTTCTGCAGGGAAGGACACACGCTATCCCCGCAGTGCTTGTCACTGCCGTCGATTGCCTGCATGGGAACGCAATGATTCGAACTCAAGTGCCTTTACCATGCCCCTGTAGATCGTGGCAAATCCACCTTAACATGATTGATATAGTCAGCATGCGCTGAAAGCCGAACGAGCCGCGTGGTGTAGCAGGTCGTGAGCTTCTTTTGCGGTCGTCGGCTTTGGAGTGTTTGGACAGTGCTGCTCGCGTTTTCTGGCACTTACCTTGCTTCCATCTGGTAGTAAACTGGACAGGCCAACGTCCTCATCTTGCCCCTGATCTGAGGAACGGATCTCCTCAAGCAACGCAACGTAAACCCTGTCCAAGTCGCCTTCTTGGTCGTACGACCCGTCCTCGTGAAGTCGGATTGTTCCCATGTTCGACAGCTCCTGAAGGATCTGGTTCTTCATCCTCAAAAGGTGTTGCTCGAGGAGCGAGACTTTTGCCTTCAGGCGTGAGATCTGCGGGCAGAAACAAATGCGAAACATTCCAAGTCAGCACAGAACTTCGACCTAGCTTCAGAAAAGACTCTACTCCTCAGACAAATAGTTGAGGGGGAGGGGTTGATATCCGGCCGCGAATCAGAGCTCCTGGAATCATCCTAAGAAGTGAGCTCCGAGTCCGGCACTTACCTCCGCAGAGTCGCCGGGTGCATCAGGGTGCAATCCCAAGTTGCACGGATTGAATTCTGCAGAGATCACGAACCCGAATAAGCAGAAATAATTTGGAGGACCGCAGAAACTTTCTAAACATGCTTACTTCCTCCAGTCGAAACAAGGGTTAGTTCTTTAAACAGCAGACCTACCTTGTGCAGGTTCCAACTTGGACTGACATGTAAGGCGTTCCACCTGCTTTCTGAGACCGTCACGTTCCTTCTCCGTCCTTTCCAGCAGTCTCTCAAGCTCGGCTCTGCTCCGTTCGTTGTTCACTTTGGGTTGATTCCTTACGTGCTTTGCCCTGCATTTGAAGTCAAATACCACTTACACGGCGTAAACTTGAAGAACATGAGGCTTTGGCCTTGATAACAGGGTGCTCAGTCTAGCTTACAAACACCTTTCGCTTCTTAAAAAAAGTCCCTGACCTGTTTCCAAAGCGGAGGGTTGACAGAGTCTCTTGCGCGTTACTCGAGCTGGTCGAACAGCAGCAGAGAAGTGCCGTTCTTGAGTTACCGCCCTGCACATGATCGTGTAGAGACCAGGTTGGAAAGCTCGTATTTATCATCCATTCTTTCGGCGGTCTGGAGGTTATTTGATCTGCCCAGCTATGCGCCCTCTATGGGGCGCATTTGCATAGACACATTTCCCTGTCAGCACATAGCAAACGTATTAAACCTGCGGGCCAGGTTTGACCACATCGTCCATGGCTAAGTTGCTGCAAGTCGCTCACCAATGATTCTTGAAGGACCCGTGTCAGCTTCGAATCTCGGTACGGAATGAACGACGCCTTCTCTGCACAGCTACTAGGAATACGTCAGCTTATGCGCACGTTGATGTCACTTTGTTCCAGAGAAGCGTCCTCTGGTCGCTCTGTTCGCATTCAGCATATTACGTGTTCCCTCATGTTTTATGCTCTTTTAGACCTACCGTCAGTGAGCGCGTTGATGACGTTGCCCAAGGCGGAAAGGGACTTGTTGATCATTTTGGCTTCCGACAGGACTTGTCCTTCCGCTCCTGTCTTATCCACCTGCATAATTAAAAATGATTCTTTGTATGTGGACCTCATGCTACTCCCAGCCGCACCTCAATGTCTTCTTCTGTACACTGCGGGCTAGCGTTCAGGAAGGGCACCAGTCTAGGGCCGTTCAGAAACTCAATCGCATGCACAAGAATGCACGATAGCTCGTAAGATGTGAAATTGCGATATATACCGACCTTCTCGGACCCCGCAAGGTCCACCAAATGTAGTTTCCCTGTCTTGACACTGCGACAACGAGTGTCGAGGATTAGCAGGAGAGGTCCTTCAGATATCTGATTCTCTGAAACTTTTCCCGATGAGATCTAGGAAGAGGAGAGAAGCAGTTCTTCATACGCTTGAAGGATCTGGTGATCTTGAAGCAAGGTGGCCACAGAACTTAGAATGCTTTACGCGGTAGTCGCACCTTCGATCTTCAACGTGAGTTGCGATGATCGAGATCAGGTAGATGCAGTGGCTTCTGCTGCTTTCGTTGTTCATATCTGTCAGAATGTTGTCAAGCGTTCTTGAGCACTACTGCAGGTGCTGACTGTTCTGAATTGCGAAGCAATCTTCGTAAGCTCCTCCACGGTTTTGAAAGCTTGAAGAGAAGAACACCGTCACACTTTTTTTTTGTTGGAAAGCATTCTAAGAGTGTAACGACTGAAGAGCAAAGCTTGCTGGTTGGATACTGGTAGAAGCTACTGCTCGATTCTCCACCCCTGCTTGCAGCACTTGAAGCATTTCCAGCTCGCTTTGAACGAACACCTCCGTCGCTTCGGCAATCCAGATTCCCTTCTCAGCTGACTCTCGTATTGACAGATTGTCTTTTTCCGTCTGAAGCAAGTCTCGAAGCTTTTCCATGTAAAGCTCCACCTGAATGTAGTTAAAGTTAGAAATTCTAGGAGCAGAAGCGGCTTTCTTTCCTCGAATGGAGTTGTGCATGATTCAAATGAGGCACAGTGCAAGCAGGACAAAAGATGATATGCAGGTAAGCAAAGTGTCCGAAATCCCCGAACGTTCAAGCAGCACGGACAGTGGGTCTCAGCAGATCCTCTGGTCATCGAGCCTGTTGATATGGTAACCGCTTGGAAGCACACCGGCTCGAAGGTTGTGCCGGACCTTACCACCGATACTTTCACAAGATACTCGTAAGCTGGATCAACCGATTTGATGGAAGCAAAAAGAGCTTCTGCAACCTGCAAACGCCCTCTGACGGCAGTAAGCAACCCTTGATTGTCATGAAGTTCTATGTAGTGATGGATGCTGCGAAGGGAAGTTTTAATCGCCAAATCCACGTTTGATTTGCTTTTCTCACGTTTGGAGAGTCCAGAATCAAGCTGAAGCTGACCGTTCATTCGCACGTTGTCGTGACTCACCCTTGGCAATATGCCCCTTTGAGCTCTGTCCGGTGTAAGAAGAGACGGCCCCTGTTGGGAAAACCAGTATAGTGAAGGCCTGTAAATCTCCTGTGGAACCGGCAACATACTCGAAGGTGCTCAAGGATTGACACGAGCATACCCAAGGCAATGTGCTGCACGCTTTCAAGACATGACATCTGGATGAATCACATCATTTCAGTGAGTGTCAGTCTTCCGGAGAAATGTTCAGGCTTGCTACAGGGAGTCATGTCCTGCAGATGATCTGTCAAATTCAAGTGTATTCTTACCTCCATGCTATGGGTTTTACCAGCAGATGTTTGTCCATATGCCAGTATCGTGCCATTGACTCCCTGCAGTGCATCTGCGAAGAGCCGAGATAATGATGCAGTCCTCGCTCATGATACGATACGTAGGCAGACAAATATAAGGATCAAGTTGACCGTATTTGTGGACGATCAAAATGATACTTCTCTGCGTGTTGTTGATTGGAACTCACCTTTGACGATTGGTTCTGCTACTTCCGTGTAGACTTCTTTCTGGGAAGCCTCAGGCCAAAAGATTCTGTCAAAGTGGAAGGATGCTTCGCCGACCTTCTCGTCCTGGATTTGGAAGAAAGGGCTTTACTTGTGGATGGTAATAGACGCTCTCACAGATACCAGCCAGGTAACAGAAGGTCAATAGTACTTCGTTGAAGCAGTTGCAACTCTTCTTAAAGGCAGAGGCGTTCTTACATACCTGCAGCTTGAGACCAGTTCTCTCGTCTTGATGATCTTTCAGAATGCAACTCACATCGTTGCTTCCCAACTCCTTTCTGTTCATTGGCCTGAATCGAACGCTGACAAAAACGTTGGCCATGGCTTTTAATTTCGATCTCTTGCAGAGTTTCGAGTTTGTGGCCCCTGCTCGTCTGTATGAGGCGGCCGCCGCTTGCGCCGACCAACTTATTTGTTTTGGCCTTATCTGAAGACTCTGGTCAAGATCTCGATGGCGAAGATTGTGAGGATAGAGAAGCACGCAGCGGCTACGAGCGCAGTGGTCCGATGCTTTCTAAGCGCTGCTTTCCTACTGCCTGTGGTGAAACCAAGGGGCAGGTCTTGTAGAGCCTGCGACGAAGACGACCTGTAATGGACGGATTTGAAGTGACTAGCGGGCATCTTTCCTTACTGCAGCAGCAAGGTTGTGCTATCTTATTTCAATCTCACATTACGCGCACAGATCGGAAACAGCTATAAGGGCGGTCGGGCGCCGTAGTCGATCATCAGCTGCTCAACAAGTTAGCGAGAGCACTTAAGTCGTGATGGACTTTTCGAAAGACAGAAAGGAATCTACGCAGGTATGCTTCTCGTTGTAAGATTAGCTGTCGCAGGTGATCATAGCAGGAACTTTTTGAGTACTGTATCGGGCTGAATGAACCTAATCTTATCGGTAATTTAGAGACAGAATGCTTTCGATTGAGAGGTAGCAGCCTTGATCAGAAACCTCAAGTCACCAATCGAAGTACCGTTTGAAGACTGCATGAGTCGGCGCTACAAGAGCCACTTCTTATATTGAAGTTGCTCCTGAACTGCTTCAAGTCAGGGGGACCAAACACCCCAGGCAAGAAAGTTAGCAACATGAACCATGTGCCAACAGCCAAACGGCTAATTGCCCGGAACCGAAAATTGGTGGGATTGAACCTCCACAGGGTCGCCTTTGAAAACCCAGAGTTTGGGGTCCGGGCAACGCGCCGTTTAGGAGGGATTGGGGGCAGGTTTAGGTGGGTTTAACAGCCAAAAAACCATTAACCCTCTTTTAACACTCTTCTTAACCCTCCCCTCAGACCAACCGAGGGACCGCATCGGGCTCGGGACATCCAAAATATGCAACCGCAACCGTCCTGATCAAGAGATTTCTCATCTGACGGTGCGGATCATGGTTCACTGTGTTTCAGTGGCGTTTGGTCCCCCCGCTTCAGGTCTAAGTGCGCTAGTACCGCTCGGGTTACGCAATCTAGAGGGACAGGAGGATAACTAAGTGCGTGATCATGCAAAAGGAGCGGCAAGTACAACAGACGATCATCGGATCATTGTCGGACCAACTGCGTGCAGATGTTAGCAAAGTATGAACTAGAAGTTCGTGACCGCGAGTATATCATCACCAGTTATGGCAGGCAGCAGCCAGGGGCAGTCGAACAGGCATAGTGCAGAAGAAATCGGCAGTCTGAAATTTGCACAGTTGGACGCTGTGCATGGCCAGGCTGTGGGTACATCGCTGGTGGCCCGCGCATTCCATGTCACTGCGGTGCCTATTCCACTTCGCACACCCAAAATGGGGCCATCTTACAGTTCGTTGTAGATACGTGCATCCCACAGATCAAGGAACACGGGGTACAAAGGCAAATGAAACTGCGTGGGCGCACTGGATGGGCTGGCACTGCATGATCAAGCACATGAGTATATGCCGCAGTTAGGCAGCAGCACTCAGCACATGCAAGCACATAATTGTCGAGCAGATCAAGCGATGTGTACATTTCACATCACCTTAGATTTAAGGACATGAAGGACTCAGTCGTAGTCCTAGTTTTCAGTATCTTACACGAGTAGTATGACTCAGATACACCCTTGAGCAAATTCTGACGCCCGTTATTGCCGGACAGGGAGGCCTCCGTAGCCGACCCTGGTGCTGAATCTGCACGTGCACTGATCTTGCGCAGTAACTTCCCCTGCAATCTCATTTCAATGCCCTGCTATTTGGAACGACGAGTTACACACTGTACAATGCGTATTCTGTACAAGGACCACTTCTCGAACACCGAACGCAAATATCGTGCCTTGCTAAGTATAACCAAAGAATCTGTCCCTAAAAGAATGTGTATCTCTGGGCGGCTTTCCCGCTGAAAACCGGCCTTGGATTTTCGCCTGAATCTTTACGAGACGCAAAATTGGTGACAAACGCATCACAAGCTGCTGCTCCCGGCAGTCTCCTTCGGGGGTGTGAGCGTGGACTTAGGTGAGTCAGCAGGGACCTTCCCCCCGAAACCCATGATGGCGTGCGTCAGCATCATGTTGGCTCTCCGCATCATGTCGCCAGTCTTGCCCACGATGCCCGTATGCGTGAGGGGCTTGTGGTGCCATCTGGAGGGTAGATTGACAAGGTTTCAGTCGCTCATTTTGGAAAGAGAAGGTAACGCTCGGGAAGGGCGGAGCAGATATTCTGCCGCCACCCGAATTAGAGAGCCAATCTCAATGGCCGCGTCTGATTGTCCTGCGCTCAAGGATTGCGCTTTCTCGACTTAAAAGTCCCACAACCGACGACAATCAGCTGATCCATACAGGACTTGTACAATCACAGACGCGTGGTTGGGTTCTTTCCGACAACGCGATATGTCAGAGTCAGTGACCTTCCAACACCGAAACTGTTCGCGAGATACTGTTGAGGAAAAAGCGTGGTGCTCCGCAAGTGGAGTCTTGGACGCCTTCGTAATGTGACTATGTGAGTAGAACGAGCGTCACATTCTCAGAGACCTCTGCAACAGAGTTTCTACGAAAAGAACAAGCGTTACAGCAGTTCGGACGCTCACAAGTCCTCGTGCCGGACGACCTGGCCGTCCTGAACCACCAGGCGCACCAGCGACGGCATCTCGAAGGTGGGGCCGACGGGACGCATCTTGTATTTCATCACCAGGTCGATGTGGATCTGAGGAGACGAGGAGCGAGGGTCTCGTGAGACCAAGTATGCAGAGCAAGCGACGTGTAGAGTACCTTCGTAAGGTGACGTTTTGTGGCGCAAGTGGGGCACGTGCGAGAGGAGAGTCGTGATGAAATCTCGAGACTACGGTGTTGAGAGCGAAAAGGAAAAAAGGCGTCACAGAAATCATTTCATTACGAATACCTAATAAGACTGGTGCGGCCAATTTCGGATCTTTTCGATTCCGGACGGGCAATGTTCGATCCAAATTTCGGACGGGTGAAAGCAGGGTTTCACTCAGTGAAACTGCAGTCGATTCGATACTGTTTTATTGCCAAATCGAAAAGGGACCACGTCATCAAGCCGTGTT